TGGTCTCGAAACAAATAGCTCACCAGCGCTGCGGCTCTTGGTTGCGAGGTTAAATAAGTTTAGGAGGAAAAGTACATTGGAGATGGTGCTGATCCAAAGGAAGGAGCCAAGCACACCATTGTCTTGAGGAGCTCAGAGCCCGCCGCGGTCATTTCCTGGGTACATCGGCATGTTGGCTAGGAGTTGCTGCGAAGTGGAACTGGATTAAAAATAAAGCTGCTCTTGTGACAAAACAAACAACTGGGAATTGGCCTCTGGGCTTCTGTTCCTGGCTTTATGAAGGAGCTCACCACCATAAGGGAAAGGGAAGCTGTGGGATTCGCAGAGCCAGGGAGGATGCTTGCAGTCAGGGCAGCCCTGCTGAGAGCATCACTGCGGTGCCATTCTCTGCCTGGCTGCAGGAGGGACCTCTGGGCCTGGCTGCGTTGTGTGGGAGACCAGGAGGAGCCCCAGCTCCTTCTCCTGCCGTTACCCTCTGTGTTCTCAGGGTTGGGGTAATGCAAAGTGCTCAAGAAGCCGTTCTCACAGTCAGATGGGAATGAAAACGTGCCAAAAAAATGTTGAGCGCAGCTGGATCAGGTTGTGAATTCTTTCTCAGAGGGTGTCTGCTTCCCTCCACAGGCAACAGAGAGATCCAGGGAAAGTCAACATTCTCTTTGGCTCCTGAAGCTGTGAAGTTGGGCGATGGGAATGCCACACTTTGTCCACCTTTGCCTCTGACTCTCTGTCCCTAAAGCACATTGCCCTCCTGCACAGACGGTGTCAGGTGGCAGCAAGCTTCAGGGTGTGTTTACTTGACTGCCACTCAGCTCACAGCCCCACTCCCCATTCACTGGCTGTCCTCCTGGCCTTCTTCCCTCCGTGGCTGTCTAGTCGTCATCATCCTCCATCTGGGAAGCAGTGGGATGGGTTCCAGACAGCCCCAGGCAGGTGCTCACACCAAATAGGAGGTCAGGACCCGGGCAGGGTAATGCTTCCAGGCACTGGGTGAACTCAGCCATGAGGATCTGGAGGATGTGGGCTTCTGAGTGCTGATAATTCACAGGGAAGTAAGAAGCATGTGCCTTAGAAGAGCCTGGGCTGCCGTTTTTCTTGTCTCAACGTTTGGCAGGTTGAGGAGCTTGTGGCAGGGCTGTGATGGTTAGCATGGATGGTGAGCACAGCTCTTTCCTTCCCACAGACCGTCCCCTTGCTCCTTAAAGGAGGGGCTGGGCTATCTAGGAGCTCTTGGCTCCCCATCCTAAATTCCAGCTTGCGTTCTGCTGTGAAATATCCTCGGTTATTTCATCTTTCCTGCTGAGAAAGGCTAAACATAACCGTTTAGGAGTCTGGCACGAGGAACTCGGGTTGCTTACTCAAAAGAGGAGCAGTGAGCCAGACCTTCAGCTGCACTCACTCAACATCAGAGTGCATCTATTTGTGAAATGCTTAACCCCCGCTGGGAAGGGCTTCTGCAGTCATAGCAGCGTAGAATCCTTTGAGTTGGAAAGGGACCTTTAAAGGCCACCTGGTCCAACCCTACTGCAAAGAACAGGGACACCCACAGCTCCATCAGGGTGCTGGCTGGAGATGTCCCTGTCCTCACCATGCACCTGGCTGCCATGGAGAGGGAAGTGGGTGCATGGGAACGAGGTGTCACTTCTCGTACCTCCAGGGGGAGCGATCTGTTTCAGCAGCGACAGGGAAAAGTCAGCTTCATTCATGAGGAAGGAAGCAAACGGGGGAGGAAGGAACGGCTGTTTGTTAACGTTGCCTTAAGCTAAACACTAATGAAGTGCAACACTTAAGATGCTTGCGTGCCTCAGCGACGTCCACCGTGCTCACATGTTGCCTTTCTAATTATGTAGGTTAAAGCATGAGGTATGTGTGAAGAGACTGCTGCCTGCTCATTACCTCTCTGTGAGTCGTAACTCTGCTTTGCCTGTAGCTGCTGGGGTGTCAGGTGTGCTTGCCAACAGCAATAGGAAAGCAGTGGCATCTTGTGCAACATGGATGCAAAAAGCTGGTTCAGGGGAACACTTTGCCTTTTATTGCGTGAAAGGCTCAATAATGATTTTGGAAACCAGGAGCTGTTTTATTTACCCAGTCCATTTTTATTATTAAGTGGGGGGGCGGGAGAAAAAAAAAAAAAAAAAAAAAAAACCAGACAAAAAATTCCTTCAAAATTGTGCAATAACAACACAGCAGAAATCAGTGAATGGAGAGGAGAAAAAAAAAGAGACAGAGTAGCAATTCAAACAGTACAGTATTACACATCACTCAAGGAACCTGATTACAAGTGGATGCTACTACAAACCTCACCAGGCTGCTTAGAGCCCACTCCAGGGCTGTCACTGTTAGGGCTGTACCAGGAGCTCTGTGGATCCCAGAGTAAATAACTCCATGCTACCCTGCCTGTTCTGAAGTCCATTTGAAGGAGATTGAAAGTTGTTTCGGGAAATGCCATTTGGGTCTCTCCCAAATGGAGTTTTACCTTTCCACCTGTGAACTGCTGAAGTCTGCCTCGACAAAAAGATTTCACATTTTGCGACGTCACTCTGAGCTGAGAACACGAAGGACCTTTACAGCCTCAGTTTGTTGTTCAAATGGACTTAAGAACATCAGCCAGCATCTGCAGTGGGCTCAAACACAGGTACCAGAAGTTCCTGCCAGCCCCTGTGCCTCCAATACCCTTTTTCTCGTCACAGATCCCAACATTTCTCTGGGTTCCCATCAGGTCAACCCAGGCCACCTCCCAAAAGGGAAAGGATTCATCTCCCATTGCATCAAGCTACTAAAAAAAAAAAAAGGAACAAAATATGCATCCACATCCATGTACCACATGTATACCAGAACCCTCCCACCCCATATACATCTCTGTGAACAAGATTCCGTGCTTCAAAAGTTCATAAAAATATACAATTTGTCCAGAATTGCATCTATCCTGCCCATTCCCTGCCTGGAGCTTAGACTTCTCTATTTATATATAAAATACACTAGCCCTGTAAAGTTGCTTTGCTGAGAGCACAGAGGGGATTTCTGCACTGTGAGGGAGCGCCCCACATGTTGCAGTGCAGCGAGCAGAGGTGCAGGAGCTCTGCACAAAGGCAAGGGCTGCACTGCACAAGCCCTCCCTGCATTGCATTGGGGACATTTTTGGAACATGGTATTCCAGCAGACCGCCTCCTGGCAGCTCTCACAGCATCGCAGCACAAAGGAGCCTTTCACTGCAGCCAGAGGTGACCCATCCCAGCTGAAAGCATCCAGCCAAGGGATTGCTGCAGTATGCAAAGTGGCTTCAAGGTTCCCCTTTGGCATCCACCTTCTGCAGCCCTCCCTCAAGCAGTTTTCCCCAGGGGAGCAGAGCAGCAGAGTTTAGCCATTACTCACTCTCTGAGGGTACCACCTTCTGGGATACCACACTGCAGTTCTTGGATACCAGTGCCAGAATTAATATTTGCTTAACGAGGAAGGGATGCAACGCTTTTAAACTCTGCTTTCAGCCTCCCCCATCCCTGCAGAAATATAATAAATCTTCTGATTTATATCTATGTAGGATCATTTTGCCTCTGGGTCAGGGTCTGCTCTCCCTGCAGCTGTCACTTCAGACAACTTGAGATATACAAGCTGGGTTGATCTACTCGAGATTTTTGCCCAAGAACAGCACCTGACCCTCAAACATGGTAAAAATATTGCAACTTGGCCAGCTTGCTGCTGCTCCTAAAATCTGGTTGTGATTTGGTCCCAACTCCAGGGGAGGAAATCTGTCACTGGGAATGAGAACACCAGTAATTAAAAATAGAGTCAGTTTTTCTATAGCGTATCAAACCCTACAGAACCTCAACGCTTCATACATCTTCTGTAAATGAAATTAAACGGGTCGGTTGCGTATCAAAACATAGTTGGCCTCTCTCATTTCATCTGTAGGAAGACTGCAATTTACACAGCAAAAATACTTTTTGGTTTAAACCAAGGAACAGGTGTGACAAGACAGCGTGCTCTACTTGCACTGGCACGGAGCTCCTGGGCTTTGCATATATAGAATATGGCCGAGCGTGAGCCGTGGGCACCCGCTCGTATCGCGCTCTTGGGTTGGCAAGTAGTGGGATTGGAGGGGAGATTCACCAAAACAATAACTTCAACGACAGGAAAGAGACATTTCTACTGCTCTGTAGCCAGTATTATGGCTACAGCACGTGTGGCACGATGAGTGATAGGGATATATTATAGATATGTTATTCAGAAGCAGAAGGTGCAACCGCAGCTACCTGTAGGAAATGGTGATGAAGGAAAGCAACGCCTGCTGCGAGACGGGTGGAGATGTGTGGTACCTGCAGCTCTGTGGCTGCAGAGCTGGTGGAGGTCCCACTTCCACCCCTCCAACATCCTCACACCTCGAGCAGCAACACAGGGAAAGCTTTCCTGGGAACAACGTGCTAAGGTGGTGGCAATTTGTCACACTGACATGAATTACAGACCGATTACATCACAGCCAGCAGGTCGGCAACTGCTGAGAGACTGTCTTTGAACAAGGGGAAAAATATGTAGAACTAAGGATTGCTATTCTCATGGCAAGAACAATGGTGGGGATGCCAAGATACTACTGCCTTGCAAGATAAAGTGGCACATGTTCTACACAAGAATGTGTACAACGTCTGACGGCTTCAGAAATCTGTTCTCGAGCAGATTTCCCAATAAATTAACACAACAAAAATTCTTTCATATAAAACAAAGTCCAAAGGATTTTTTTTTTTTTTTAAGTAAAAGCAAAACCTTCAGGGACTATATTACTTATCTCTCTCTACATATATAATCTCCTGAATTTTTTTAAAATAAATTTATTCTCGTCTTAGAAAAATAAATTGAGTAGCCAATTTAGTCAACGGAAAATATCTCACAGACTTAAAAGCATGCCCAGCAAGCATAGCCTTGTAAGACTAAATCAATGTTAAATCAAAGCAATTTGTTACTAAACCAAACTAGTTTGCAATTCACAGTTGATTACTACAAAGTGTTTCTTAAATTTTTTTGGCCCATAGAAAAATAACATATTGCAACTCAAAGTGCATTTTTAAAATAAACAATCAACTATTTTTATCAAATAAAATATTTACACCATTTGGTTTTTACAGTCAGAAGCGCGCTTCATGCGATGACCATGGGGACATCATCTGAAAATCCAGTTATCATGGGAGCTTCGTCATCCTCATCTCCTGGAAAACAAACCCAGAGCTCTTTTACACTGCCCTTGGTTTCAGGACGGATATCAGGAAAAAAATGTTCTCTGAAAGAGTGGTGCTGCACTGCACAGCTGCCCAGGCAGGTGGTGGGGTCACCATCCCTGGAGGCGATGAGGAAATGTGGGGATGTGGCACTGAGGGACGTGGGCAGTGGGCAGTGGGATGGGTTGGGGTTGGCCTTGGGGATCTGAGAGGTCCTTTCCAACCTGAATGATTCTATGATTCTGTGAGACGCAGCTGAACTGGCCCCAACAGTAGTGCATCAGCATGTTGCTCTTACCAGTTGTTGTATTTGCGATGCCCAGGATTTAATGAATTTTCATTAGTAGGGGGTGTTTAAGTGAAGCTGCTAACAACACAATCCTGAGATAGGTCTATGCTCTTAGAATCAGATCAAACCCATAAGGAGTTTTACACTAAAGATGTCCCAAAGCATGATGAAGGATTTAGGTCATCTGCTGATCTGGAGTACCTGAGATCCCAATGCACGACCCCAAAAGTTATGCTAGGCTGATGGTTGGACCTGATGATCCTAAGGCTCTCTCCCAGCCTCAGTGACTGTACAACTCTTTGATTCTACATACCTAAGTCGTCCCCTGAGGAGAAGATGGCCGAGCCCAGGCGGGAGCTGTAGTGGCTGTTGGCGAAGGCGGTGAAGCTGCTCTGCAGCCGGCGGTGCCTCGTGTACAGCACCACGAAGCCAGCCCCCAGGGCCACCAGCAGCAGGAACAGGATGGGGACCACAATGGCAGCCACGTCAGTGGATCTGCCTATTTGAGATTCAGAGGAGTCTCCACCTACAGAGCAGGGAGGCAGGGAAGCACTTGTAACTGATATGACATTTCTCCCGCTGCTACTTGTGCAGTGTCCTGAGGGTTTTGGTAGAACAAACCCAACCCAAATGCATCCAACTTGCTAATATTTCCATCCTATGACTTCAGGATGGTTTTTTCTATTCAAACCTGCTAGGATGCAAAGCCACCAAGTGGCCATCTGTATAATACTTCACTATCTCCTGTTGGGTCCATTTTTGAGGCTTTTGTTAGTAGTGTTCACGGAGGAAGAGGGGGCTGTGCCAGTGACTTACCAGCTCCCAGCTCATCATAGAGAAGCGTAGCCGGCTCCCCGCACATATGCCCACCATACAGACACCTGGCCCTGACTGCAAAGGAGTAGTTGTGACCTATCTTCAGGTTGGAAACTTTGAAGAAGTTCTCGGTGGTGTTCCCAAGATAGGCCGTGCGGTTCAGCAGGCTGTCAAACATGAGAACTTCGTAACCCTGAGTGGGGCAAAAACAACAACACAGCTCAGCAGGGACGCTCAGAGAGCAGAGCATCCTGTTGTATTGACAGGGTAATGTCAGGAGCCCTGCAAGCAACTCTGCTCTCAGCATTAATGAAATGCTACCTGTAGGATGGGGGAGAGTGCCCCTTACCCTGCTCTCATTGAAATTGCTTTCCTTTAATGCCAAACTCTTCCAAAAGAGCAGAATGTGGTCATTTTCTGCTATAATTTTTAAGGCATCCGGTGCAGAGAGTGGAACTGCAAATGAGAGAAAACAGCAGGAAGGTTAGGTTTGGTTAGCAGTGCTACTCGTTTTCAGGTTGAGGAGCAGCAAGGGGGGCACTTCCAAAAGGGGTGGAGGGGCTTTATTTGTCAGCACAGTGCAGGCTGTGCTGGAGGGGAGGGTATGGCTGATAGGATCTGCTGGTGGGTTTTACAGTAGGAGGGCATTTCAATACTTCTTCCTTTACCTGTGTTAATCATCATGCTGGATTCTTTGCTCATGTTTCCCAGTTGAACAATCACGTGGTATTTGCCTCCTGGTTCGAGTTTCTTAATGGTGTATTCCACCGTGCTGTTCCGTGTTTTCACTTTGTAGATTTTATCTGTTTTTCTTACTAAATCTTTAACTGCAACAGCGTACAACTGAAGGGAGAAAAGGCAGGCACAGTGAATGACAGATCTCACTTTCCTGCAGACTCACTAGAAATCTCATGCAATGTCAGGACATCAGACTGGGGGGTAAAAATGGCATTAAGCCATGCCTGTGCTCTACAGAAGGCTGGCAGATAGACAGACTTTGAGCCCCTTGCTGGACAAGCTGGAACCCTGCCTGAGATGGCTATTTGCAGATAGACAAAATGCAGTTGCTGGGACCTGTGTCCCAGATGAGGGGCTTGATCTCTTCTCCCTTGTAACTAGGATAGTACAAAAGGTAAAGGGCTTCATTTGCACCCGGGGAGGTTCAAACTGGATGTTAGGAAAAGCTTCTTCTCCAAAAGGACGGTGATGCAGCGGCACAGCTGCCCAAGGAGGTGGTTGGAGTCACTGTCCCTGGAGGTGTTCCTGAACAGCAGGGATGTGGCACCTGGGGACATGGGCACGGTGGGCATGGGTTGGAACTTGGTTTGGTGATCTGAGAGGTCTTTTCCAACCTTAATGATTCTATGATAAGGGCAGAAGGAAAATTGCAGATCGTATTTATCAGTGAGCAGAGATGCAATGCAAGCCTGTGCCTTCTCAGAGTTTCCACCATCATTAAACCAGATTTAAGCCTTTGCTGGGGACCAGCTTAGGAGGGGTAAGTCGATGGTGGGGCAGGGATCTGTCTGTGAATCGGGGCTTTGTGTGCAAAGGAAGAGGAGAAGGCTCTGAGGTCCTACCATGTCTTGGTCAGGTGAATCGTAGGGAGATTCCCACTTGATGACGGCGAAGGTCTTGCCTGTGAGCACTGCATGGAGGTGCCTCGGGGGAAGCCGGTTGTCGGGGATCATCTTCACCACAACGTAATCAGATGGTGGCCCTTGGTAGGGAGACATCACACGGACCTTGAAGGGACGACCCAGCAGTTAGTGCGGTGCCTTCAGGCTTTGGTGCCAAACCCGAGCCCAAATTGCGTGTGGGAGGGGATCAGAAAAGCAGCCTACCAAGAACAGGTACTGCTCGTCCCGCTGCACGATGACGGTGGCATTGTGGAAGGTTGTGGTGGTGTTGTGAGGGCTCCGGTAGAGCTCCAGGAAGGACGTGGCGTAGAAGATGCCATAGACCTGCAGAGGAGAGGACAAGAGGGATGGTACAAAGCTTGTCACGGCACAGAGCTCCCACCCAAACCATAGTGAGCTGCTGCTCTTTAGGGATTTGTTCCTCCTGGGTTCAAGTTTAGCTCTGGTCTGCCAACCAGGCTGCCCAGCAGCACTTTCTTTTGATTAAGGTCCTCATCTGAGGAACCTGCTCCCACCTCTGACAACACATCCATCAGTTAGAAGGCCACGAGAGCATCATGACGTTATCTGTGTTTCAGCCACTTCTCTATGTAACAGCAGCTCAACCAACAAACAACAAAAAGCCTTTCTGTGCCGGTATGGTAGTGGCAGCAAGCACTTTTCCTTACATTTTTTTACCAGAAGTTTTTCAGGGTTTTTGAACTCAGCCCCAACAAACAAAATGTTCGAAAATATCTTTTTTTTTTTTCCTAAGCTCTGAGTCAGACCCCATCCCAGTGAGTGAGAAAGGAGAGCCTCATGGCCTTACAACATCCCTCGGTCCGGTCCAGGTGCACTCCACTGCTGTCTGGTTGATGGCCCTGGCCTTGAGACTTGGTGGGATGGGTCTCGTCCCGCTGGTCACAACGTGCACAAAAGACAGAGGGCTGTCACCCAGCTCTGTCTTAGCCCAAGCAGAGATTTCATACGGGGTTTGAGCTGTCAGGTTGGCCACTGAGCAAGGAGAGAGATTCACACTGTTAGGTGAGGCACAGTGCTATATGGTAGAAGCATCATGAAATGGTCAGCAGCACTAAATGGTCTCAGACAGGATTGTCTCTCTCTTGCTATGTGTTGTCCTTCATTCTGATTAGTTTCTTTTGCACAGAATCACCTAGGTATCTAAGCTAGCCTTGCTTGCATGTTGAGATGCTTTCCCAAATCTTGACTGTGCATGCTAGCTATTCCTCCAGACCCCAAATAAAGCTGATTAACAGGGACGCACACTGTAGACAAGCCCAACTTTTTTGCAGAATCAATAAACAAAATCCCTGTGATGAGAAAAGGCCAGTGCAGCTCTGGGGAATAAATCCCAAATCTGCTTGAAAACTGCTAAGAAGAGAGACCAGAGTTTTACCAGTCTGTCCTCCCAGGATTTTCTCTTAACATACTCAGCTGAGCTGCAGTGACAAAAAGGAAAACCTTGCAGCTGTCAGTAAAACCCTCCATTTGGGGGGTGACCAAAGCAAAACTTTACATCTAAACAACTTACCTTTTTGGACTGACTTTTCTCCTTCTATGGTCAGAGTTCTTCTTTCCTGCCTGTGTGCATCAAATGTCCAGTAGATGTTGACAACGTAACCGCTGACCTGTCAAGCAGCGATGGCACACGATATGAACTGACTTAAGTTCAGCTATTTTGGATGCACTGAAAGAGTCATCACTTCTGTCTTTAAGTCGTATTTTCCATAGTAATTAAGAGAGCTGGGACAGCTGATGAGTAGCAAGTAATAAACGGGAATGGAATAATTAGTTTCAAAATATGATTGCAGTACTAAACTGGGTGATAGCTTATCCCATCCAGTATTTACCACTTATCCAACTTTTCTGTTACTGATGTTTCAGAAGTAAAGAGTAGAATTTTACCTTGATATTAGTATTCATTTTCAGACTGAAGCTTATGGAGTCCTCAGTGTAGCCCTCAATGCGTATGACAGGTGGAGGAATGACTGGAAGGAAAGGGAGAAATGGTTGTTATTGCAATCCCAAGAAACTTCATAGCAAGTTCTGATGGCTCTTCTACCTCTGCTTTCCAGCTATCTCCAATGATCAGGTACTCCCACATTTCACACAAGCAAGCATTCTGCATTTTTAGTAGCATGATGTTTTCTTTCCTTTCTTTGTCAACGCCGTGAGCGTGCACTTTTATCTAACAAACTAGAAAGCAGACAATTTTGACATCAGAATATAGACTAGGAAAAAGTCTTGTCAGGAATACAAATGACTTCAAAAGGCTTATCAAACAGCACTTCAGAGGGAAACAATTTATCGTGTTGTTTGGGTTTACCTACTGTCAACTGCAACGCTGCAACAGTTTCTGGGAGCCTCAGTAGTCTTTCAGTGGTCTAATCTACATGAAATGCAGCAACCATCACAACCACAAAGCAAGAAGATAATTAGCAAGCATTCTCTCAATGAGTGATGCTGGAAGAGCTGGTGGAGGTGCATCCTGCCTAGCCCAGTGTAGGACCTACATGAGTCAATGGCAATGCACAGCAACATTTACTGGAATAACAGCACTCACCTTTGCCTTTTATGGTGGTTATGGATTTAGAGATGCTCCAATTTCCCACTCCTCGACTGGTCACTGCAGCAACCTTTCAGATGAGACGGTCAGTTAATGTGAATGAATGTCACCAGCCATACATGATGCAAACAGAGCGAGGTGAGAGCAAGGTTACGGACACGGCGGAGCTCAGGGAAAAGGACTTTGAAGCAAACAATAGCTAAATTACTTGGCAATAAAATGCTTATTACACAGATAAAGCAGTCTACTTTAAGTACTTTAAAGAATCTAAATGGAGGAAGGGGCTCTGCAGATAACTGCTGTCTTATAAAATCCTGTAACCATGGAACGGAATGGATCAGCCCCAGCGTAGGTAAGAATCATGCCTGTATCCACAGCTACTCATGCTCATCCTGCACGTGGACACTGGCAGCAACATTCCTCAGGGCTGGCACGCTTTCACTTCTTAACTATTCTATCTGCAATCACCCAACCTCTCCTATGTGTGTGCCTTCTCCACACCTACCTGCTGCTCTTTGCAGTCATGTAGCCAGGAGCAAATTTATCTCTGCCCCAGATCTGGAGCAGTTGCAGTGACACTGGAATGGGCAATTGGTAGCATAGGTTTCATAACACAGCCAGGCCACTTCGGTGGAGGAACAAATCAAGGGGCACAACTCTGGTCTTAAATCTATACACACTGTCAGCGCAAATGCCAGCACCCCACTGAGGGCTGATATTAAAAGGCTGGATTTTAACATCATACTTTTCCAGCAATTAGTTGGCTGCACAAGACTAGAACTGCCTAGCAAACAGTAAGAGGTTGTGCAGAGCTCTCCTATAGACTGAGCTCTGAAGATACTCACCCGAACTGTGTACAATGTGTTGACCTGTAAGTTCTTGATCTCGGTGTAGTTCTTGGTGGTTCTAAGGGATGACCACTCCTTGGAACCACTGCTGCTGTATTCCACCTAGAAGCACCAAAACTGGGGATGAGGACTCCAGTGTCAACAATTCTGTAGATCTTTCTATGCCAAAATGTCAGCAAAAAGAATTAATCAAGCTTAGAAAAGAAGCCAGAAAGAAAATTATGGTTATGAGGATTGTGTTGCTGTCTACAGCCCCACAGCGTTGCTCTCAGCAGATCTGCTCCACTAAATACCCTGTTCATGGCCCTCCAGCCCCCTGCAGATGGCTGTGCTCAGAGCAGCAGCTGGACTCACAATGAATTCCCGTATGAGGCCATGGGCGTTCACAGGGGCACTCCAGCTGCACACCACCACCCCCTCAGCTTCTTTTTTGAGGGCCAACTGGAGGTTAAATGGAGCATCCGGCACTGGGGAGAGAAGCACAGGCATTAGGTTTGGTCACGGCTGTCACCTGAGGAGCAGAAATAGGAGGGCAGGGTCTGCCAACAAAGCAGAGCTTAGACATTGCCTTCTGGTGTGCACCCAAGCCCTGCTCAACCCTCACTTGGCCAATGAACCCTTCTAGTGATAGCAGTGATGCCAGGTGTGCTGGTTCATTGCTTTTTTTGAACCCCTTCCTTAACCCAAGCTCCAGCTCAAACCACACAGCTCCGCTTACGTCCTTCGGGCACCCGCAGGGTGATGAAGTCGTTGGTATTGTAGACTCTGCTGAGACACTGCACCTGCACCTTCACCTGGTAGGTGCAGTCAGGCTTCAGAACCTTCAACACGCTGCTGGTTTTGTTGCTGTGGGTTTCCAGAACCTTCCAGATGCTTTCTCCAACCATCCTGCACGAGATTCAAACCCCTTTGGTCAGGGATATACTTAGTGACAGAGGAGGACATGTAATCTCTTTGTATTTTAAGAGCTTGCTGCTTAGTTTTCTGAGCAGCAAAGCCCACCACCAGCTTGGGAAGCTGTTTCAAAGTCTGAACTAAGTGTAGCTCGGTGCCTCACTGGCACCATCACTATCCTCTGAGGTTTGCTCTCACTGCTGTGCTCTAATTTCCTGACTTTGTTCTCATTGTTAGCAGTCCCACAAAGACAAGACCCAAGCAGAAACAGAACACCCAATATGCCCACATTTCTGTAGAGTAAACAATCTGAAGGAAACAAAGAGCTTTTCACAAAGGTCCCCTAGCTGCAGCTATTTTGGGGCTGCTTTGCAACGAAGCATTAGAAGATTTTCCAACTAGAAATAGATTGCAAAGCTCTGCCTTTTGAAATCTGATTCAGCACGGGGCCTTGCTGTAAACACATGTGCTGATCACAGTGAGGCAGTGGGGTACCTGTAATACACATTGTAGACACAGGAGGTCGAGGACATCTTCTTTGGCCGAGCCCACGTCAGGGTGATGGCACCTGAGAAGTCAGCCGTCCACTGCAGGTTCTGTACCTTGTACACAATGGTGTCATCTACAACAGAGAGAGTCAGGCTGCAGGAGGGAATTCAGCCTTTTGCCCAGAACAGGAGTTCAGTTCCACTGCCAATCCATGGAGGGAGCATTGGCACTGTGCAGATGAGGGATGTAATGTAGGTGGGGTGGGCAATGAAGAGTAGGAACGTAACCCTGATGCTCCTGCTTCTCCCCGGAACATTTTGTGGTTGCCTTTGTGCTGCTATTACCCAAAGAAATACAAATCCTGGCTGCTGAGAAAATACTCTTTATCAACGTTTCAGAAGTGTATTGATGCAGGCTAAGTCACTCCCCTGCTTGTGTGATGAATCTGCGCTATGACAGATTCCCCACCAGGCCCCTCTTTGCATGGTGTCACATCTTGCATTCCAAAGCTGAGGCTGCAAAGCAGGGCAGAGCCCTGGTGCAGATTTCCAGGGGAAAACAGATGGTTTTCCTGGGGTGTTCATTCCCCACAAATCTCAGCAGTGCCTTCCCCCAACCTCTCCCAATCCACATTTAATTAAAGCACTAAAACCTGGCTGATGCTCAAGCCCTGAGCAGGTCAATAGGACCATGCTGAACCTTGTGGCTGCACACAGGCAGCAACTGATCATGGTCATCTGCCCAGGGGTGACGGTGGAGAGGTGCAAGCTGGGTCACCATATAAAGGAGCACAGGGCTGGGGACAGTCCGTTCATCCATGGGCCATGTGAAATGGACAGCCGTGCTCCCTTTCATCCTAAAGCTGGTTTGTGTGTCTGAAGTTTGTTGGAGCACAAAATCTCAGTGCAGAAGCTGGCTGGCAAGTTTGTCCCAGCTGGTTAAGAATGGGCAAAGAAGCAATCTGGACATGATGCTACATCCAGGGTCTGTGACTTAAAAGCTGTGCATGCAGGAGAGCTCACGTGCATGAAAATACAGAGCAGGGAGGGGGGTCAGGCTGCAGCTCACCTGTGCAGTTCCTCTCATCGCTGCCATCGGAGCAGTCCAGGTACCCATCGCAGCGTTCAGTCACCAGCAGGCAGGCCTCCCCATCCTCACAGCGGAAGCCCTGGGGGCACGACAGCGAGCTGTGCGTTGCTGCAAGCAGAAAAGTTGCAGGGCTCAGTGCAGAGAAGGTCCCTGCAGGAATGGGGCTGGGTGCTGGCATAAAAGCAGGAATGATGCATGGATGGAGCACAGAGTGCCATTAACAGCCCTATCTTCACTTTGCTGCGTATTCTGGCATGATCACACCCACCATCAGAAGGACCCAGCAGGGAAGTGGTGGAGTCACCATCCCTGAAGGTATTTAAGAGATGTGTGGACATGGTGCTTAGGGACGTGGTTCACTGATGGACTTGTAGTGTCACATCATGGTTAGATATGGAATGCTGGGTCGTGGCTGGACTTGTAGTGCTGCATCATGGTTGGGCTTGATGATCCCATGGGTATTTTCCAATCTAATGACTATGATTCTATAAAACTAATAGCTGGACTTCTAATGGAAAAAAAAAAAAAAACCAAAACATTGGCATGTGGGGCTTTTTGCCCATTTTTACTGCCAGGATTCCACCAGCATTAACCCTTCCCATCCCCTCATAGAGCATCCCAAGAGATGGAACCAGCCAAGATGCTCTCAGCCCCACACTCACGGCAGTTCCTCTCGTCGGTGCCATCCTGGCAGTCCCGCCGGCCGTCACAACGCTTCCAGTTGGGGATGCATTTGTGCAGCTGCTGGCATTCGAATTCGGCCCTGCTGCAGCGGCCGCGTGGCGCTGGGGGGCTGGAGCTCACATTGGGGTCTGCGGGTGGGAGAAGCGAGAAGAGAACCCAGCAGCACCGACAGCTGTCCCAGCTTCACTAGATGGCATTGGTCCCGGTTCCACTAGATGGCAATGTCCTCCCATCTAGCAGCTAGCTGGGCTGCCTGAACCATCCTCACTGCTGACTGCAGGGGGCTGGGAAAGCAACCGCTCTGCAGCCTTTAGCGCGGGTGTGAGCTGAAAAGCCACCCCTGCTCCCTCCCGTTTATGTCCCCAGACGTGATAGAGGAGAAGTGTGGGGTGAGGATGCTTACGGGAGGTGGGACAGGCGTCCTCGTCCGAGCCGTCGGCGCAGTCGCGGTAGCCATCGCACACCCAGCTGTTGGTGATGCAGGCGCCGCTGCCGCACCGAAAATGGTTGGGGAGGCAGGTGGGAGGGATGGCGGTGGTGATGGGAAGGACTGGGGAGCCTGAAAGACACCGGATGGGTGTCAGAGCCCCACCAGCAGAAGGGAGCGGGGAAGGCACGGCAAGACACGTGGTGTTATCTGTATCTGGATCCCAACTGGGATTTTCAGACAGGCAGAAGGTAAAGATGTTGAGAGCATGCACACAGCCATTCGTGGGGGATTTTTAGAGCCCCAGAGCTGGTGCAGGATGCTGGGATGCAGCCTCAGTGCAGCATCAGGGACCCTCACCCTCGCACTCCTTCTCATCCGACCAGTCCCCGCAGTCGTTCTCTCCATCACACTTCCACTGGTTGGGGATGCAGTGCCCGTTCCCACACTGGAACTGGTAGTACCGGGAGCAGTTGGGGGCATCCGTTGGGTTTTCTGGCCAGGAGAGAAGAGTTCTCTGAGCTCCAGTGCTATTTCAACAGCCTCTGACACAGCCAAGGTACAAGAACAGGGCATCCCCCCCAGAGCACCCCCAGCATTTTGGGCTAGATCCTTTCTCTTCCTCTCCAACTCCCCCACTTCTCACATCTATCACTGCTCTGTTGGCAACGTTACAATGTATGTGCACTGGGTGCAGCCAAACAGCACCAACAGTCACAGAACCAGCAGCAGAATTCACACAGAGCACAGCAGAAGCAGAGAAGCAAGCCCTGCAGCTCTCCAATGAAGGCACAGCTGCTTTGCCTGGCTGTGCACAGCTCCTGCTGCTGCCCAGGGAACACTGATAAATATTGAACTTGGCTGTGAGCTGCCTGTCTGCTTTGGGCTGGGAATCTGGAGGCAATATGGTCCCACCAGACTCACTCAACCACAACATGTGCCCGCAGGTCAGATGTGCAGCATGCTGCAGCTAATCTACCTGCAGAAAGAGAATGATGCTGATCCCCACGCAAGACTTTGCAAAGTGAAAACAAAACAGTGCACACACACACACACATGTACACGTGCATACATAGATGCATGGGTAGGTACAAAGAACATAGAGCCTGTTCCCTGCGCTCCTGGTATCCAAAGGAGTAAGAAGCCATAATGACAAGGACCTTGAAGGTTTGCTCACCACAGCTTGCTTCATCTGAGTAATCACCGCAGTCATCCATGCCATCACACTTCCACACCAGGCTGATGCACACCCCGTTTGCACACTGGAAGCTAAACTGGTCACAGGTGCGGTGGAATTCAGGCTCCTGGGCTGCAGGGGAGGAAAGTAAAAGTCAGTGTGGGGTTGGAGGGGAGCTGTCATGGACTTTTGAAAGCACAGCAGGACCACTGTTTAGGAGACACGGCAGCTTTGTGGTACCCTCCCCACACCTGTGGTCTCCACTCTCCAGCCCTCCCTGCACAAAGTGCCTTGAGATGCACAACACCACGCTCACCGCATCCCGCGTAGTTGGCATCTTCATCGGAGCCATCCTCACACTGGATGTCACCATCACACACCATGGAGTGGGACAAGCACTGCTGCCGGTTCTTGCACACGAAGTCCATGTAACGGGTGCACAGGGGAATTTCTGGGGAAAGTTCAGGAGGAGTGGATGGCACCATGGCAGGCACTGCCTGCAAAAAGGCCACTGTCATTTGCACAGACATGTGTGAAGGTCCAGATTTCCAGATCTCATGGACTGCGAACTGCCCTGCACAGCCTGTCCTCACTCAACAACACGTCACAGCTTGGCACGGGCACCGGGAGGATTCGATCCTCCTTAAGCAGCACCTCTTATCTGCCTTTTGCAGATGCTCAGGGAGCAGCCCATTTCCTCAGCACCAACCAGTTACCCCACCGTGGGCACACCTCTCAGCAGCCCCCAGCACTCACCGCAGTCCTGCTCATCTGAGGCGTCGGCGCAGTCAGTGATGCCGTTGCAGTGTTTGCTGGTTGAGATGCAGGTGCCATTGGGGCACTGGAAGCCATTGCACTTTTTTTCTGAAATGAGGTACATTTTGCCCGTTTTCTTTTCAGTACCAAAAGCACAGCCCCTATCCCCTTTCCCCTGACCCCTATAGGAAGGCATGGGAGTTGGCTGCAGCTCTTGTGGTTTGCAGGCACGTACCACAGATGGTGGGGTCCTCATCGGAGCCATCCTGGCAGTCAGCATCGCCGTCACAAGCCCAGCGCTGTGGGATGCAGTGCCCATTGAGGCACTGGAAGCTGGAGGCCTCACAGGTGCGGAACACTGATGGGAGCAGAGCAGAGAGGGATCCATTTCTCTCTGTGCCATATTTGCTCACAAACCCGCTGCGCCCTCCAGATTCGGGAGGCTCTTTGAGCACAACCCTTGGTGCGTGCCAGCACACGTGGATGTGGTCATCTTAGGATGGCAAGAAGTGGCACAGACAGCAAGCGAACCTTGGTGGGGTGTAGGGTCCCTGTATGGGGACCACAGGGTAGGGGAATCACTGGTCAGAAGCTTTGGAGATGGTCTGGAATTAGGGCAGGCAAAAGTTATTTGTGTGGCCAATGCAAATGAGAAAACTTTGGAATTTCAAAGGGATCAGGGCCTCCCTCGGGCTTCTTTCACCCAAGGATCTGCTGCAGGGTGTGCTGGTTGAAGCCCAGCATGTGTTGTTGCTTTAGAGACAAATATCACTCTCCAGCCAAGCGAGCACTCAGTGTTATCAACAAGAAAAGCAACCTGCAGCTTAATTAAATGGCATGCTCGTGAATTTCACATTGGTTTGTGACACGTGCAGATATTTCAAAATGCCTGAGTTTCATGGCAGTAATATTCTATTAGGTATTCAGTGTGAAATGTAATTATTTCAGATAAGAGCAATAAATACAGCCAGTAGAGTCAGATGAAATGTTTCTCAAATAACTGTGATCCTCTTAGATAATTTCAACTTCAGGCTCTACAAACCCGAGATGCTTTTTGAAGTAGGTTCTGTTCCAGGAGAAATTCTCTCTGGAGAAACTCACACGAGAGATAAGTGATACCAATATAAATTAAACCTCCTTAGACAGCAACGTGCACAGAGTGCCAACGACCACAGCCCCCCGAGCATTGCTATGCACCTCATGTGCTGGAGGCACATCTAACCCTGTGGATAGAGGATGTAGGAGCTCAGCACAGCAGATGTGATCCCCCAGGGGCTCAGCACCCAAAGGCCAGCTTCTATCCTGCACATTGCTCTAAAAACACGGCCACGTGCCTTTCACTGATGGCCTTAAAAATCCACTTGGAGTTGGCACTTGCTTTACATTCCCAAACCCATTGAGAACAGCAAGGCTGCTACGAAGAGGAACCACTTCCCAAGCTGAACCTGCCTCTCCTTTGCAGCTTCTCCACCATTACTGAGTCTGAAGGAAATGTCAGTTTTCTGCAACGTGCTTCACGGCAAGAAAATGGTCAGAGTTCAGGCTCTGAAATGAGATCAGTGCACACTGCCCTGTCTGTTGCCTGCCTGCAACAAAGGAGCCCATTCTAAACACAAGGATTCTTTGGCTGCCTGGCAGCCAAGTCCCACTTCCCTATTCAGCACAGCCTCAAAGGCACAGCCGGCACTGTGCCATGATGCACCTCGGGCTGCTGGGGATGTGCTGGGAGCAGCCAGTGCTGCAAAACTGGTGCAAAACTGCTCTTGCAAAGCCAACCAAACGCAACTCCTCCAGTGCAACACCTCCAATGCAACAACTTGAACACTACTGGGAGAGGCTGTGAGCCCATAAAGAGGGATGGCGATATGTTATTGATCACCACAAAGTGCTTACTGGTGCAGTTGGCTTCATCAGACCAGTCCCTGCAGTCATTGTCATCATCACACCTCCAGGAGAGTCGAATGCACATCCCTGAGCTGCAGCTGAACTCGTCTTTTCTGCACTGGTGAGCATCTGCAAAGAAGCACAGACAGCTGTCAGCTGAGTTTGAGGCCCAGGGAAAAGAGGAGGAAAATTTCACACGGGCTACTGAAAAGGGAGAGGAGGCTGATAGTTCAGAAGCAACACTGAGCAGCCCACGCTGCCATGTGCCTGCTGGATGGCTGCCCAAGAAGAGCCTTTAATCTCAACCAAATATTTGGCTTTGGGTCAGGGGAAGGCCCAAGGAGCAGGGAAAGATGATAACAGCACAGAACCTCCCTGCCAGACTGCAGCGATGGGGGAAATCACTGCAACATCTCTCATCTCCTGCAGTGATAGGAGGAGGCAGCTGTTGGCTGGGAGTAACGAGGGGGATCTGGAGCAGCACTGCACTGCCCAACCTCTCAGCAGTGGCACCAGGCTTTGGTCCCTCGCATGGGGACAGGGAAAGAGGAGGCATGCAGCAGAGCAGCTCACCGCAGTGACTCTCATCGCTGTTATCACCGCAGTCGTCCTCCAGGTCACACTTGTAGGACAGGGGGATGCAGGTCCCCGATTCCCGGCAGCGGAACTGGGTTTCGGCATCACACACAGTGGTGGCTGATGGGGGAGAGGAGGAGGTCAAGGTGGTGCTGGAAGGATGGATTGTGTTGATCCACCATGAGTGAAGCAGAGAGGGGAGCTGAGAGGTGCTCAACACAGCTTGCAGGGTTATTAGTGTAGGTGCATGTCAGAGTTGGGGAGCAGGACTAAGGGCATCCCACCTCACTGCTGCTTGCAGACTGGGAGCAATGTGTCCCCAGCAGAGGGGAAACACTGCAGGCTACAGCTCACCCAGCCAACTTGAGATTCAGTTCCTAGGGCAGGAACTGCACTCTGAACACCTCTTGCTCCCCATGACTACAAAGGGATCACAGGACATCAGCTCAGATGCAGCGCCGATGCAGCAGACATCTAAACTGGGATGGGCAAATGCCACCATGGGACACTCACGGCAGTTCTTCTCATCGCTCATGTCCCCGCAGTCATTGTTGTTGTCACACTGCCAAATGCTGTTGATGCAGTTCCCGTTGAAGCATCTGTACTGGTTGGGCAGACACGTGTTTTCTGGTGCAGAGGAGAAAACAAAAAGAAGCTGGGGTGAGGCATGACGCCCTGTTCCTGGATATCAGATGCACTCCTTGTTCCAAGGGCAGCTGGGAAGGTCGTCAATGGAAGAAGCTGCCAACTCTAACAACAACAGCAGGAACCAAGCCTGGTGTTACCTTCCTTCACGCAGGTGTTGTTCTTCATGCTGTAGCCATGAGGACAGTCACACTTCACCTCCCCTGAGGGCAGCACGGTGCTGGAAACGCCCTCAGGGCACTTGCAGCTCCGGCCATTGTTGGACTTGGGCAAACAGAGCAAGCTGCAGGGGTGGGCAATGCAGCCGTTCCGTCCTGGCACCGGGGAGGAAGGGGACACCATCAACAGGGGCTGTAGGCAAGCAGGAAGCCCCATCCCAACCCCATCCCAGTTTGAGGTTGCAGCCCCATGTTTCTGTAGGCTAGGGAAGTGCTCTGACAATCATAGTGATGCAGCTCAGAAACCCCATACAGCACTTGGCATGGAAAGCCATGGTTTGTGTCCTGAGCTACGGGGTGGGTGCCTGGATCAATATCCCCAGCAAAGACAATCTTGTGCTCTTAGCTACCTGTCGTCTTTCCTCTGTAGAAGATTTTCATGTCCATGATCCCGTTTAATCGGCCAACCAAAGTCTCCATCCTTGAGCCACTGGTTTTGGATGCCCGGAAGATGCTCAGCTGTGACCAGTCATTCCAGTAGATCTCGTTCTGAATGGTACACACTGCTAAGTACTGAAGCACCTGAGCACCCACAGCCACAGGGCAGCAGAGTGCAAATCCCTCCCAGCCCATGGTGAGGATGATGAGGAAGACATGGACTAGGATTTGAGCAGGAGTGGAAGCAGGAGTTGCTACGTGCAGGAATTTTGGGGAACATGTCCAGAGCAGAAATAGAGTGAGTAATGTGCTAGCTCCTTCCCACCAAACCTACCCAGTGTGCTAAGTGCTCCCACCATGCAATGGAAATGTGGACAAAGTGGAAATGGCTGGCTGCAGTAATACCTTAAATACAGCGATGGCATAGGGGTGTGGGAGGCTGTCCAAAATGACAGATCTCTGCAAACCATTGAAATCCACCCTCTCAATCCTATCCATGTAAGCCTCAGTCCAGTAGATCCAGTGGTCATCCACAGAGATGCCATTGGGCCACCGCACACCTTCTGAGACGACGCAGGCAGCCGAGGAGCCATCCATGTCACTTCTGTAAATGCCAGGCCTGGAGTCTCCCCAGTCCGTCCAGAACATCAGCCTGCAACAGGCAAAGAGCTTAGCTGCAACAGGAACAGCACAGCTTGTCACAAGCGAGCAGGTTATCAAGCAGAGACGTGAACGCTTTGCATTCCCTGTCTCTTGAAAGATGTGCCTTTGGGGAAAGGAGCTCTTTGCAATTCAAATGAGAGCAGCGCTGGATCTGCGAGCAGAAGGCAGGCTGACAGAGCTGCAGTCTGTGGGGCACGAGTGCAGCTGGAGGTTACCTAGCCATGAGCTGCACAAGTGGATGTTGAAGAGGTGGTGTTGTCATGCTCTGCTGGCCATGTGCACATAGCCAGAGGCAGCTCAAGTCTACCAGTGTGACATCAGCGTCACGGCATTGGGGTCCTCATTGCTCCCTCCTAGAGCTGAAACTGCTGCCCAGAGAATCTGTGGATGCCCCATCCCTGGAGGTACATGAGGCTACAGATGGGGCCCTAGGCAGCCTGATCTGCTGGGGGCAAGCGGCCAATGGCAGGGGGTTGGAACTAGATGATTTTTAAGGTCCCTTCCAACCCAAGCCATTCCATGAATCTGCGATAAGCCTTCCATGCAGCATCTCCCCCTGGTTCCTCTTGTGTGGCTGTGGCATTGAAGGGGAGGGCTTGATCTGCACGGTAGAAGGGATCTGACTGCAGGTGGGAGATCCTTGCTTACCCTTCTCGGGGCACCAGCGCAAGGGCCCTGGGTCGCTCAAGGATGGAGGAGTTGAGGACAGTGAGACGCAGGTCTCCATCCGGATTGGCAACCTGGAGTCGTAACAAAAGAAGAGGATTGTGCTGGTTGCAGGCTGCATGGAGGGAAACTGCATGAAAACTGTGGCAGTAAATCATATTATCCCAATCAAACAGGTGCCATGGGCACAAGGAGCTGCACTGTGGGGCAGTGGATCGCAGCTGTGTCAGGGGAGGTTTAGGTTGGTTATTAGGAAGAATTTCTCCATGGAAAGGGTGGCTGGACAATGGAACAAGCTGCCAGGGCAGTGTTGGAGGTATTTAAGAGATGTCCTGATGTGGCACTAAGGGACATGGGTTAGTGATGGGGCTCAGTAGGGCAGGCTGATGGCTAGACTTAGTGATCCTGAAGATTTTTTACAACAGAAATGATTCTGAGATGCTTTGTGAACCCAGTGCAGTGTGGGGAGCAGGTTGGCAGCCAGCAGTGGGACCCCAAAGGCACACTGGGGCAGTCCCCCCTGCAGCACAGGTGGTGTGACTGTACCTCAATTTTGGGAATTCCAGCATTGACCCAGTACAGCAACTGGCTGAGTGGTTCGAAGGCCAAAGCTTCCACCGTTTCCAACCCAGTGCTTATGATTATTTCTTGCCCAGAGCTGCCATTGAGACAAAGACGCTAGAGGAAAAAAAAGGAGGAAAAAAAGGACTAAAAAAGCAGAACCTTCCCAGCCTTGAGGTTAGCACAGCCACGTGTGTATATCCATTTTCTACTTCCCTAGGAAAGAAAATGGGAAATGGAATAATTCTGAAGATATCCACATCAGTGTATGCCACAGGAAGCAAAAGCATCTCGATTTGTCAGGTTTCAACCAAAGATCCCAAAATTTCTGGATCAAACCATCCAGAATTATACATTTTGTGGGAAGTAATTCAGCTGTGGAGCCCAATGCCCTGAGCTCAGCACTATTTGAGATCAATGCACTACACCGGCACACTGATCATTAAGTTCCCCTCCAACCCAAGCCCTTCTACGATCGATTCTACGACAGCAGGCAGATGAGAAACGCTCAAAACAAGATGCTGACTCTCAGGCTGCCGCTTCTGCCCTGGTGAATCCCTGCTCACCTGGATGATGTCCAGTGTGACATCGGCCCAGTAGAGGCAGTTGTGCTCATAGTCAAAGTCGAGCGCGACCGCGCCGCGCAGCCCGGCCAGCGGCAGCTCCTGGCTGAGCCCAGAGGCGAGGTCGTAGCGGTGGATGGAGTAGCGGGTGGCATACAGGATGAATTCGTTCTCCTCTGCGGGACAGAGTTGGGGTTTTTTTAGTGATTCTGTGGTTTTTGGGGTGCTCGTGGGGTCAAGAGGGAATTGGAGATTTTTTTCATGGCAGTGAGCAGGTGTTCCAGCAGAGCAGTGGAAGGGAGGCAAAGGCCCTTTGTCTCAATGGGATTAGGTTCATTAGAATACGCTAATAGCCTTACGGCTCCCCTTATTCCCTCGCACCAACACTGCAGCTATTGTTTATCTCAGAGGGCTGAAGGAGGAGGTAGGGATGGCAGAAAGCACTGTGACCGGTACCTTGCCGCATTAGCATGCTGCCAACTAGAAACAAAAGACTCATCTCCCAGTTCCTCTGAGTTCTCATAAAAAAAACATAAATGTGCTGCAAACCTGGGAGTCCTGGGGGACACTTTCCAATGGGAAATACCCCAGAGGGGTTGTGATCTCAGTTTGCGCAGAACCAAACCGGCCTGGGACTGAGCTCCCAGGCATTGCGTGCTGCAGGTAAAGTCCATTAATGCTATTAACAAGTGGGGCTGATGTCAGAGAGCAGCTTTGGCTACACACCCCAAATGGGATTATATGGAGCTAAGAAACAGACACCGCACATGAAAGTGTTCCCATGGTGTGAGGCACCATGGAACTGAGGAAGCAAGGGTTTGTTTTTCGGGCTCTTTGCAACTCTCCAAATAGCTCAGTGGGCACAGCAGGGTGAGGAGCATGTCGGTGCTGAGCAGGGACAAAGGCTGAACCTACACCAGCCTCCATCAAAACAGCCCCAGGCTGGAGCTGCAGCATGACAGCAGATTAAATTACAGCAGCACAGAGCAGAATGCAAATAGCTGGCAGCGTGCAGGCACAGGAGCAAGTCAGTGCCTTAGATGTTTGAGAGTAAGTAGGCATGGAGGTGATGTCTCACTGGGTACGGGTATGAGGACAAAAGAGCAGCCTTTGGCGTGGCCTCTGTAGGCATCACTAATTCGTGCCTAATTCATGATAATTCCATTTAATGAATGCAGCATGGGCTGAAGCCACGCTTATGCACTCACCAGCCAGTGGGCATGGCAGCATCTCCCCCTCCAGTCGCGACTCGATGTCACCACCCATACAGGTGTCCCCAGAGATCTTCCGGTAGCTGCAACACACAGAATTCATTGCTGTTGCAGGAGCACTGGTAACCATTGTGTTCATTGAGAAGCAGCCAGTGCTTCTTAGCTACAAGCTGGACGTTGTGCTGTATGTCTCAGCATGCAGTCCACCTACTGTCACCTGCAAGGTGTGTGTGCATGTGTTTGGTCGTATCACCATAAATCACAGCCCTTAGAGGATGGGGTTCCCAAGCACAACGCTTACCCTCGAGTCCTCCTGTAGGTTGAGCCTACAGGGCACGGTACTGGTGGGTCATAGGGCTTCCCTGCAAACTCGGGGTCTGGGATGCAAACTTCCAGAGAGAGATCCTCGCTCAGCTTAAAGCCAAAATCACTGCAAGGAGAGATGTGATGTGAGCAGGGAAGGGAGAGAAGGACAACAGAGCTGCTTTGCTGTGCTATTTTTGCAAAGTGTGAAGATCTCAGAAGTCCAGTATCTAGCTGTACACTAATATTTAGCTGTGCATCTTAGCTTCTTTCCTTAGGACTCTTCTCCACCACCAATGAGCCTCCCCATGCCAACCGCTGGGGCTGGGCTCCCTGCCAGCTGGCCCATGTCTGCACCTCAGCATTCCAATCTGTAAGATGGGAGCTGTGGTGTGCTGCTGGTTGGGAAACGCTGCGGAGGAGGCTATACCACTCTGGTTTTGCTGTGGTTCAAAGGCTCCCAGCTGACTTGTGATGAGCCAGATTCCTCTTAGATCTCAGCAAGGGACAGACAGGACTGTAGGTGAAAGCTCAGCCAGGCCATTCACTTCCTAACCCCAAGCCTTTGCCTCTGAGTGCCAGAACCCATTCCCTAATCCCGACAGCTGTGCGGTTTCAGCTGCAGATGAAATGAGTCTGCAGGGCCAGCTGCATTCCTGCGGCTGTGGGGTCACAGGGCTGCACTGCAGAGCATCTCTGCGTGTGACAGTAAATTGTCTGCCGTCATTTGAAAGAAGGTGATGGATTAACAATATCTTCCTCTTGTATAGAGCCTTTCAGAGGTTCCCCAAAGGCTCAAGGGACATTAATTAAGTCTCACGACCCATTATTAATGAAAGGATGCTTTCAGTCTATTTAGTTTCCTCCTTGCTATAAAATCAAGCAGCGATACAAAGGGCAGAGTAAATTGGACATGTGTCCACTCAGAGCAATTGGTCACAGATATTTATCTCAGACGTACAACCCAGACCAAAGGAAATTAATTGCTATTTACCATTCAAAGTCTTCCCTGGTACACGAGCAGTTGGAGACCATGACAGGCCTGTCAAAATCTTCCCCATTGAAACACGTTGCATGAGGAGTCCTCCTTTTGAAGACAGTTTTATGCCCCAGTAAGCACTCGTTGCCTCGCTCATCTGAGGGCGACCACAGCTTGTAGTCGTTCTCTGTGCAGGGGACCCCTAGAGAAGGGACAAGGTTGGGTCAAAGGTGGGCACCCCAGACTGCACTATGGGGCACCTGGACTTGGGATGTGGGAGCAGCTCTATGGAGACCATTGGCACCCTACAAGGATGCTCTTTGTTGGCACAAGACGAATGTTTTGCCCTGGATCACAAGGTTTTTAGCCCAAGACAGACAGCAGCGATGCTCAGCCCAGCAGCTCTGCTGCACTGATGGGGAATTGCAGTGCCTCGTTTAACCGGAGCCGTTCTGGATGCCAAACAGATCCACTTCTAACAAAACATCAGGGGAATCTGCTACGAATTTCAGTCGAGCAAATTCCTCTGCTGAGCTTAACTGCTCTTTGATTAAAACGCTGCCTCGCAATCAAAGCCGGATCCAGTTATAAAACATTCATGGGCAAAGCCTTCAGAAGGCTTTTATTCTTCCACGTTCCTGTCGAACAAATCCCTCAGTGATGATGGTTGGGGTTCAGTGACAGCATTAACAGCCAGGGCAGGATGCTCACCCAGCACGTCAGAGGTGTTGACCTGCAGGATGAGCCAGCTGTGGCCGTTCTCCTTGTAGGAACCAAAGATGGTGAAGATGGTGCTTTTCTCCCCAGGCTCTGTCAGCAGCCCATACACAAATACTGGCTTCTCTGAGAAGGTGAAGGATTTCCACGTCTCTCCCTCGTTGGTGCTGTACCTGCAGGAAAAGGATGGGGGTGGCTGCAATGGGGAAACCCAACCTGGCATCCCAGTTCTGTGCTGCAGCCCTTACTTGAGCTGGTCAGTCTCCGTGCCCTGTGCGATGGCCACCAGGATGCCCCCGTGGTCACCCCAGGTGTAGTAGTGGGGTCCTGATAGTGCCTGGAAGAGAAACAGTGGTGAAAGGAAGAAGGTCAGGCATGGGGATACAGAGTGCCAGGGCATTCTGCAGACCCCACGTTGTTCCTGTGCATTAGGATGCCCCAGTGGAGCATTGAGATCACCTGCAGCACAGCATGTCACCTCCAGAAGGAAACCATTTGTGTTTCCCCTCAGCACAGAAACACTTTCGCTTTCCTTTCCGGGTTCAAAACAGAAAGCACAGATCCACCCAACTCCACCATGCACCAACCTGCCTGGGGATGCTCTGCTAGGGTCACTGAACACTTTGGTGCCTTTTATCTGCTTTTTGAGACCAAAACAGCGCTCTGCAGAGCAATAAGCCTTCCAGCAGCTTCCAAAACCAGGAAGAAAATGTGCTGCTGCTCCTCCCAGTTGAGCAACAGCAGTGCGAGGCCATTCCACGCCTCTGCACAGAGCACAAACGTGCAGCTCTGTGCGGTGTGCCCGGGCTCTGCTTGTTCCTCATGGGGTTTAATTGCTCTGCAAAGCAAAACTGCCTGCGAGCCAGAGGAGGATTGCACAGACACAGCAGTCGGCTGCTCTCTCTGTCCATGAACACTACAGTTCCACTGAAACCCAGAGGCTGTGACAGCAGCCAGACCCGCGGCGTGCCCAGCACTAACCCTGCCCACGGGGTACTTAAGGGGAGGAAAAGGAGGCTGCCTAATGCATGTGATGAAACCGCTTGCAGATGTTGAAATACCATATTATGCTCACAGCAGAATGCACAGGCAGACCAAAAATACCGCCGCAGACCAAACACCCGCTCAGTAAACAGCACCAGATCTGCATACACTGAGGGCAGCATCCCGCGGTCTGGGAAGAGGCTGGAGCCTCTCCAGGCACTGTGCAGAGCTCTGCCTGTCAGTCCTGTCCACAAGGGACCGGCTGACCTGTGCTGAGGACACGTTCTACGAGCTGAACAAACAGAGCTCAAGCTGCATCTGAACCCGCTGCCTTCAGCACGAGGCGACCGCGCCTGCTCCTGCATCCAAAGATGGTTTTGCTACAAGGGGCATTCAGCATCTTCTGGCTGCAGCTCTTTGATGTGTGCACACGGGTCACCTTCACTGCCTATGGGCTGCAGCTCCCCAATCCGTGCTGCTGCCAGTGTGCTGAGCTGCCAACCAGAGCCCTTACCTCTCTCCACCTCGCCCCAGCGCTGCTCGAGATGTAGACGTTGGTTTTCTTCGCCATGCTCCTGCCGATGGAGCCTAGGAGAATGAGAACAGTCATCCCTCTGCAGGTAGACACAGCAGCCACTTAAATGAAGGAGATGCCTCGAAGCTATTCTGGTCTGTGAGCAAAATGCCGTGATGGAGGAGCTGATATGTTAAGGACGATCACAAGTTTTAAAAGCAGCTGGGGAAAAACATATGGCTGTAAACATGATCAAACAAAATGAGCTGGTGGTTCTGCAAATGTTCCATCATTTGTTTTCTACAGCGAAGAAGTGAGACAAACAGCAATTCCTGCACGTCCAAGGAACCCTCCAGCTGGGAAGGGGTAGGAAAGAGGAGTGGATTGAAGCAGGCAAGGTTTGCAGTGTCACCACACTGCACTGACATGTACATACAGTCATTAGAGGGACTGCAGTGCAGAACAGGGCAGCAAAATGCACCATTTAATTGCACTTCATAGAATCACAGAACACTCTGAGTTGGAAGGGACCTGTAAGGATGACTGAGTCCAACTCATGTTTGTAAACTCCGTTTTCTTTTAATTGCATCTACAAATGAGATGCCACCCAATTCCTCATGCCTTTAAAACAACGTGCTCCCAAGCCCCTGGGCAGCAACAGAAGGAAAAATGGTACCGGTGGCAATGATCAGCCCTGGTGCTGACTCTTTGGAGAGGATGGGCATCCTCCGCAGCTGGAAATTCAGCAGCTGGCTCAGGCGCTGGGCCAGGTGGAGGGAACAGCCCTGGGAAAGCTGGGGAAGCAAAGCACACCGTCATCAGTGCCTCAGTCCCACTTCATCCTGCAGCCTCTGCTTTGGAGTCATAGAATCACAGAATGGCCAGGGTTGGAAGGGACCTCAAGGATCACGAAGCTCCAACCCCCCGCCACAGGCAGGGCCACCAACCTCCCCATTTAATACCAACCCCTGGCTGCCCAGGATCCCATCCAACCTGGCCTTGAACACCTCCAGGGATGGACGAGGCATCCACAGCCTCTCTGGGCAGCTGTTCCAGCACCTCACCGCTCTTTCTGTAAAGAACTTCCCCCTGACATCCAAACTAAATCTTCCCTCCCACAACTCAAAACCATTTCCCCTTGTCCCGCTGTTATCTACCTTCCCAAAGAGTTGATTCCCCTCCTGTCTGTAGGCTTCCTTTAGGACACAGTACTCCAGATGAGGAGCAGAGTAGAGAGGGACGATCACCTCCCTGTCCCTGCTGGCCACCCCTCTGCTGATGGAGCCCAGGATACCATCTGATGATGGGATTTCCCATGCAGGCAGCTCAGCCCATGGACCCCTCTGTCTTTTGGGAGCTTGGCTCAGCTCTCACCTCACAGTGTGTCTTCTCCCCATAGCGTGTCTCTGCCGGGGGCTGCAGGGGCTCCCAGGTGCCTCCCTTGTCAAAGGTGATGACGGAGCGCATGTTCTCCTCGCTGAAGGAGCCGTTGAGCAGCGTGGCAATGTACACACCTCTCACACCCTCGACACGGTGGAAGTCAGCAAAAGGCTCATTGGCAAAATATCTGCAAGGGAAAGCCAAGGGGATGAAGAATTAAGAGTTGGTGGGATGGCCACAGTCGGAGGGTTGTGGTCAGCAGTTCCATGCCCAGGTGGAGGCTGGTGATGAGTGGCGTGCCCAGGGATCTGTCTGGAAGTGCTCCAGGCTGGGCTGAATGGAGCTATGGGCAATCTGACCCTGATGCAGTGCTTGGCAACCTTGCCCACAGCAAGGGGATAGAACTGGACGATCTTTGAGGTCCCTTCCAACCTAAGGCATTTTATGATGATTCTGTGTACTCTGGAGCACACTACCTGACCAGAGTGTCACTGCCTGCTCCTCCTGGGCTGTAGTAGAGCACATTTTCTAAAGACAGGGAGAACTTCAGGCCTTCTGCTTCCGAGATGTAGAGGTTGGTGCGGTTGTCATCGTGGCTGACGCACACAAACACCTGGTCCTCCGATGCATCGGCGATGTAGTACTCCTGTGGGAAGCAAAGGAGTGGTGTGCAGGCTTTAAGTGCATGGGCACAGGAGCAGGGTTTGCATACAGGTCAGTGTAGCATTTCCTCATAGATAGCTAACAGTAATTCTCCACCCTGCAGCAGGGAGGTCATCCACTGCTTACCTTAATTGGATGCTTGGTAACGAATTGGGCCACCCGCATCGGCTTGCGGTTGAAGGAAACCCAGAGCTGAACTGATGATGGCTGCAAGCTGCCCAGCAAGCGCTACAGGGAGCAGAGAGAAACATCAGGAGTGGCTACAAACCCCAGAATCACCCTCATCCCTGTGCCTGAACCAACACTGTGGGGACGGCATTCCGGAGAGCAGCGAACACAAGCATGCCTCCTGCTGCCTGTTCTGGCAGCTCAGGTGGAGGCACAGAGACTGGTTTGGAGCAGAACAGCCTGTCCTTGCCTTCCTATTTTTAATGAGTTGCACGAAGGAAAAGACACCAGCGCCGAGCCAAAAAAGCAAAAGCTGGGGGCAATGTGTTTTGTGCAGGTTGCCAACGGTAAGCACCCAAACCCAGATTTAGGCTCCAAAAATAAGCGGCCTGATTTTCCCCGGCTCCACATCACCAAGCAACCACAGCTCCTGGGGAGGGGAGCAGGAATCAGGAAGTCCCAGCTCCCTTCTGGTCCATGAGGGTTGTGAGGATGGGCTGCCATCTCCATGGGGACACCAACCATCCCCAACATCTCACCAAACCCCATCAGAGCACACAGATAGCATCTCCTGCTAACCAAAGCAGGCACAGAGCCAAGAAGGCAAAGCGCCCTGGAAGTTGCAAGAGAGATTTCTGAGAAGCTGAAAACGCTCTTCAAATTGGGGTGACGTTGCTGGGGATGCAGGGTGAGAGCATGTAAGAGCCACCTGCAAAGGGCAAAGCGCTCCTTGCAAAAGGCTCGGTGGCAGCAGCAAGTGAAAAGCAATGCTTGCATCTTACAAAAAGGAAATTGCTCCTTGAGTTCTAGCATGGTGTCTCCGGTCATCTGTGAAGGACTTGCCCTCACTGAGAGCACAGATAAGCCAAGCTGCAGCATGTAAGGCTGCCTGGTCCCAGCTCGCGTTTGAGCTAATCCCTGACGACAAGTGGCCTCCATTCACCCAGCCCTGTCCCCCCTCCTGCCTCTGCATCCACCCCATGCGTTTCCAGTCCCGGTGCTCTACAGCCTGACCTACTTCTGCCCACCCTGCTGACGTGCAGGGCAGCAACAGCACGGCCAGCACTGCTCCATCTGCAGGATCAGCGTGGTGAGCTGAAGGCTGCGGGGACTCACCACAGACTTTGTGGCAAACAGGTATTTGTCCCGGAGTTGGAAGTCATCAACATCCTCCAGGATCACCTCTTTATTTTCTCGGCTTTGGAAGAAATCTGTGCTGCGAATGACAGTGGAGGTGCCAGAGGGCTCGTGCCGCTCGATGTACACTGTGTTGGGCTTATCGTAGGGCTCGACACCCCTGGACAGCAAAGAATGAAAAGGTTTTTATCACCACTGCACTCACAGAGCAGTGCAGAAGGCACGGAGGAGCCGAAGCCTTTTAAAGAGATGTGTTTGGCATGCAGGGTCTGGGGAAACGGGAGCAGCCCTGGCCTCAGCAGGGTGCAGAGCCCAGAAAGGGAGATAAAGCTCTGCATGGCCCAGGAACTCCAAGAGGGGAAGGAGGACTGGTCACAGTATGGGGAATGTGATTGTAATGAAGTTTGCATGGGTGTGTTTGCCTCCTGATGTTATCCGGGGCTCTGTGCTTCCTATTTGTGTCTCAGCTAAGGCCAGGAAGGATGTGGTTGGAGATGTTACAAGCCCTGTTTGTCAGGGGATGTCCCTTCTTGTGTGACCCTGAGGAGATAAGCTGGAAATCTGCAAAGCATGTGGCGAAATGGCTGAGATGGTGGGGATAAGAACAGGAGGGACCTGAATGTTGGTGACAGCTGATGGCCAGAGCAGCTCTGGTGGCCAAGAAAGAAGAAAGCCTATGGCCCACATGATCAGCCCAGGGATGGGGTTGGGAGCACGGTGGTACAGGGAGACAGAAAGCCAGGAGGGAGGGAGCTGGATGGAACACAAAGCTACAGCACATACCAGGAAAAGGACTTCACGTGCTCCTGTATCATTATCCAGGTCTGGCCAAAGTCATCTGATTTCCAGAGCTGCAATGGGAAAGGTGAGAGATGGGCCTGGATCGTGCAGTGCTCTCAGAGTGTGCAACCCAAGGGAGGGAGACCCCCAAGACACCAAAGCTCAGGCAGCAGAAAGAGGACAGGGACACATCCACCTCAAAGCTGCACCTGGGTGAGAACCACCCAAGCAGGAAAACACTGCCTTCACTTTGTAGAGCTGCCTGGTTGAATAGGAACTCAGAAATAAAAATAACTTGCTCTAAAGTGCTCGTGGTGTGTGTGATTGCAAAGATAAACCTGCGGGCAGAGCCTCTCCCTCCTGGAGCATGTCACAGCCATAGGAGTGCTCTGCCACTGCCCAGCTGCGGGTGGGAGGAGGGCAAAGTTCCTGAGCAGAGATGGTATCTCTTATTTCACCAGCAACAGCAGCAATAAACATACCAACCCGCAGGCACACCAGCCCCACTCCGGATCCCAGTCTCCAAGGGCAAAACACATTAAGCACTGTAGATTTCTGACTTAGGTTCCTCTCTTCTCCATGAGGGAGTCAGGAGTGACGGGGATAAAACCAAGACCCTCGTGCCTTGGCAGCTGTGCTCACCTGCTTGTTGGGGTGGGATCTGTCAAAGCCCAGGACGAGGTTGGGGTTCCTGCTGTGCAGAAGGAGATCTGCTGCCCTAAAGGGGATCGAGAAGCCCTGGATGCTCTTGCAGAAGTCAGTGGTGATCCAGAGGTAAGGGACAAAGGCATCCACAAAGATATACTGGGGAGAGAAGGACAGAGAAGGAAGAAAATCAGAGCAGGGCTCAAGCTACCCATGACAGCAACAAGTCCTGGGGAGCACCTGAGAGGGAGAACTCTGGAGGAGAGGATCTTGTTCCCACACTTCTACCACACTCTGTTGCTCCTTGAGGTCCCTGAAGCCAACAACTGCTGTGTGCAGAGTGGAGTTTTTTGGCATGATTCAGCGATGTGGGTGAGTGTGTCCATGCCCCAGTGCTCCCAACCCAGCTTTGGAGATGGGAATATCCATGGGGATGGAGAGCTGCAGAGCCAGGATGGCTCAAACCACCGCAGGAGAGCTTCGGCCAGAAGAGAGGTGGCTTTGGTGTAGGTAAACTTAAGTGTGCCACAAGAGCATGAAAGGCAATGGCCTTCAGTTGTCCCAGGGGAGGGTACTGGGAGAAATTTCTTCTCTCAAAGAGTGGTTTGGCACTGGCACAGGCTGCCCAGGGAGGTGGAAGTCCCTGAAAGAATTGTGGTACGTGGGGACATGGTCAGTGGGCACAGTGGGGATGGGCTGGGGTTGGGCTTGGAGATCTGAGACATCTTTTCCAACCTTAATGATTCTATGATGATGCTGATGGGCGCACAGCCCCTAACTCTGTTAGCACAAGCCGCTGTGGGTGCAGCCCCCCACCACCCCACTCCCTCAGTCCCTTGCACCCCGAGGGGCACCACAGGGCACCGTGCCCCCCTCAGCCCCACTCACCCGCTGGTTGTTGGCTGGGCTGTGGTAGAACTGAGCGATGGCCACCGCACTGCTGTTCCCATCCCCAAAGCTGAACCTCTCCGAAATCTTTTTAAAACTCTTCCCGTAGTCATAAGAGATGTAGACCTGCAGCAAGAGACCCGGTTACAGGAGCAGGGCTGCAGGATGCCAGGCAGGGGACATGCAGCACACAGCACTTACGTCGCTGTTTTTGGGGCCCAGCAAGGACAGGCTGTCCCTGGCCAAGGCCACGATCACGTTGCTCTTCTCTCCTGCCCAGTGAACGACCATTTGGTTGTGGGAGTCGTTGAGGCTGACCTGCAAAGGGAATGGGCACCGTGAGCCATAGCACGGGGTCCCCTCCTCCTGGGGAATGCATGTAATGGGATAAGGCGTTCAAACCTGAAGAGGATTGAAGCAATCCCAGGGGCAACAGGACCCTGTGGGGTCAGGGGGAGGGTTAGGGCTACAGGGCACGGACCACTGCTTGGATTTCAGTGCTCACTGTGAGCTGCCAAGCGGTTAAAGCACTGAGAGAGACCTTCCCTGGGGAGGAGGTGGTGAAGGAGGATCTGCTGCGAGCACGCTGTGCAACCCATGAGCGTGAAGTTCATTTATTCTTCCTCAGAGAAAGAGGATTTGTGAGATGACCAGAACCAAAACTAAAACCGAGGAAGGAGAAGCGATACAAACCGGGCTGGCTAGGCAAAGGGCCAACACAAACAGAGTCACCTTCCTACAGTGATCTCCGTGCTTAGAAGGACGTGCAGGTATCCAAAACAGGTGCAAGCAAACCCACTGCTGCCTGTGCTCGTGCTGTACCTGGAGGACTGGTTTCTATGGGGAAATAATCGCAGCATTGCTGCAGCAGGGCTGGAGGTGCTGCTCTGCAAAACACAGCGTCTGTAGGGAGCTGTAGAAATACAGGGCTAAGCCCTGCTTAGGGCTGGTACCCAGCAGTTTCCTCCTCCCTCCCCCCCCTCAGTGATGGGCAAAGAAACGTGTGGAAAAAACGATGGCTTTAGTCCAAGAGAGGCAAGTGAAACAGAAGTCCCCAAATCCCTGTTACGTAATGGGCTTGTGCAAAAGGAAAAAAAGGAGCAAATTAGAAAGCAAACAGGGGGACAGTGAGCATCCCCCAGGGCTGGTGCTTGCAGCTGCTGGGCTGTGTGCCTCCACCTGGGGCTCAGAGCAGAGATGTAGGACTGCAGGCGGCTGCACCCCAGCAGTGGGGGTCAGTGAGACCTTGGGGATGCAGGGAGGAAGGAGAGGGTGATGCTCCCCACACACAACCTGCAGTGTGAAACCCATGGCAGCTCTGTGTCCCCACCCCAGCATCCCCCCTTTTCCCTTTTCCATCAGATCTGACTCTTCCACAAGCAGGAGCAGTTCAGTGTCACTCGTTTGGGTCTAAGGCAGCAGCAATGATGGGTCAGCAGCTGAGCTTGCCCACAAAGCCCCCTCCTGGGGACAGCCTGATCTCCTCCCCATGTGTTTTCTCAGGATGGGTTTGTTGACGCCTCCATGACATTTTCAGTAGCACTTTGCAAGTTGTTCTGCAAGAAATCTGACACTAGGCTAGCTAGAGAAACAAAACAAGAGGAGGCTCTGACCCGTGCCCTGCTTTAAACTCAGCCAAATGACCTCTAAAGCATTATTCCCCGTGAGCAAAGAGACTGAACCGCAGACAGAGTGCCGTCCTTGAGCAGGGGACCAGGGCTGTGCGGGCAGAGCCAAGGCCTGGGCAGCAGCTGAGCCCTGGTTCTGCACAGAGCCACTGGAGAAACCTCCTTAAGGAGCTGCCTGGATCCACGAGCAGGCAATGGCTGGTGCCCAATGGAAACAGCACTTAGTAGAAAATCATCGTAATGGGGCTGTGTTTTGCTTTCTGCCAAGTGATTAAGGATATATGAAATATGCATGAAACTCTAATTTGTCCTCCTAATATGTAAGGTGCCAAATGAAGTCCACGAGGGGAGAAATGAAGCCAAGATGTAGAGGAGGCTGCTTGTATCTCTAGTTAACACAGTTTATGTAGTGTTGCTCACATTCATATTTTCTTTCTGTTAACAGCATCTCCCCACAACCAAAACCCCTGGTTTAGAGCAAGACAGCAACCCTGGAGCTGCCATCACACTGGAGCAAGCATGAAGGGCATCCCTGTGAGCTCTGTGCAGGGATGGATGGAGGACATGGGCTGTGCTTGCAGTGCATGGCATTGCCTCAGAGTGGGCTTTGGAGCAAAGCATGCATCGAAGGGTTCGTCCTGTGCTGCACGACTCTGACCTGACCTAGGGAAGGGCTGTTAATAACAAAGCACTCCATGTCAACACCACACCAGGGCTGCACGAGGGAAAGAGACGTGTGGGGATCGTGGCTCTTTCTTCCCATCCTTGTTAAGCAACAGCAAATGGGATGCTTAACAACAAACACGTTCCGAGATCGTTCCTGAATAATTAATGGGCTGTTACAAGGATAAATGAGCGTGTTGGCGAGGCATGAAGCCTCTGAGGCTTTGAGGTGCCAAGCCCTCGTGCTCCCTGAGCCCCAGCTGCATTGGGGTGGCAGAAGAGCAAAGCCAAAGGGGGGGTCATGGCATCATGGGGGGCTGCAGTGCATTGCGTTGGTGGCACTGCAGTGGTTGTGTTGGTGGCACGCATCGCTCCTCGTGCATCCCACCGACGCTCCATTCCTGCACCTTCTGCTCAGCACAGAGCATCTGTTCCATCCCTGCGTGGTATTTTAAGCCACCTCCTGTGCCTGCCACGGCTCTGCCTGTGGCTCAGGCTGAAAATGCCAGGGCCCGAAATCACCCATATGAAACACGAGTGACTCATTTCAGCGAGCGCCAGGCCCCTGTTAATTGTGTTAATACCAAAATCATCTGCTTGCAGAGCTGTTTGCTCTCTGCTACCGCCAACAGAGCTCTCCTTTTGCTGTTGTGCCTGAAGGAAAGGAAAAGGACAGTGGGGGAAATCTGAGGTTGGGTCAGGAGCACTGTTTTTTTCCCCAGGACTGAGTCAAAGAAGGGAGGAAGGATAGGGCTCAGGGCCTGGGGGCTGTACCAGGATGTGCGGCCAGCACCCAGGGCATGGTAATGTAGGACACAATTAATTATGGTTCACGTCCGATGGGCTGTGATTGATTTCTCTGGTCATGGAGCCGGATGGTGTTTATCCTGCAATGCACATTTCTCTGTTTTGGAGAGCAGAAAGGTTCTGCAGCATGGTGTGGGTTGTAGGATGCTCATGGCCTCAGAAGAGCTCCTGTGCTCTGTGCTTGGGGCTGTTCTTGCTGCATGCTGGCAGCTTATGGGGGCACTCAAGACAGCAACCAATGGACCCAAACACCTTTCTGCCCACCAGCACCGTGCAGTCTGCTCTGGCAAGGAAGGAGGCTGCTCTCTCAGTGAGTGCATTGCTTTCTTGGTCATCTGTAAGAGCTGTAGTGCAACAAGGATGGGAATGTCTCCTGCACAAAGTCGTCTCAGTGCAGTGATTTTAACAGGAGATGAATTCTTCTCTGCTGGGCTTTGCAAAGCTGTCATAAAGATGAAGGTCACTGAGTAACAGCACAGGGGAGGAGCTGGTGGTCATCCATGTGGGATGCAGAAGTGCCTGGTTCTCTGAGCACTGACAGCTGGGGAGGTCCTCAAAGGTGGGCTGAGAGAAGGTCATGTAGTCCTCCTACAGTGCAATTGTAAATAGCCAGAAAACAATGGAACCTGGTGGTCCTCTAAGGCAGGAGAGGTTGTCACCAGCAAGTAGGACCTGAGAGTGAAGGAGGTTCTGAGATGATTTGACTCCATGGTCCTAGGAGAGACAGGTGGATGCTGAGGTGGGCAGCGATGGCTGCAAATGCTGTCCCTAACCCACATCACCTTCCCCTTGCAGGGTCAGCAGATGAGCTCACTTCCTGCCCAGTACCATCCATCACTGTCTGCTGCTGCCACACCAGTACCCATGAGATAGCGTCACCTGACAGGTAGGCAGCAGGAGCAGCAGCTTCATGTGCCCTTCTTCTTGTACTGTCCACAGGCTGAGTGGTTCTTTGCTGGTTTATCCCCAGGATGGGATGGGATTTGAAGGATGGCTGGGATGGAAAAACCAGACAGAGGGATGAGGATAAGTCTCCACCGCTGTAATGAAGCCATAGGGTGGGCAGTGTGCAATGCTTTGGATGCTCACAGGGACTGAGGGAGTGCTGAAGGGCATAAGCAGCACTTATCCTACTCAGGGGATGCTTCCCATCAGTGGCATTGCAGAAATGACCCATCCAGTGTCCAGAGCCCGTTGCCAAATTTCCCAAGCTGTGCAGTGCCATGGAGAAGCCGTGGTGGCTTTGGAGTGCACCCCCAGCTCCAGTTCTGGCTGTCACAACGTGTCACTCCATCAGTCCCCTGGCTGTGTTCCAGCAGTGATGGGCAGCTCTGCACGAGCAGTGCCATGAGGTTACACCAGGGCAGGGCGAGCCAACACACAGCATATGGCTGAGCACACTGCCAAGCACAGGGAGCAGCACATGCCCCTGAGAAGGGTCTCCTGCAGGGCTCTCAGTGGCTCACTCCAAGCACTGTCACCTTGCTGATGTCCCTCTGCTAACCCTGCCAGCATCAGGGGAGCCACAGAGATACAGGAGGGGTGGGGACCACACGATGCTTGCGACTGGAAGCAAGCAGTATAACATGTGGCTTTGTTTTCCTTCTTGTTCATACACCACAATGCGGGTTATGTCTTAATTCCTGTTGTAACAGACACCACGATGTAAAGCACTGTATGGTTCAGAAGGGTTGTGTAAGGCCTAGTGAAGTCCTGGTGAGGTCTGGTACCTGGGCTTTAATATGCTTGCATCCAAAAGCAACAGAAGAGCCAATTTTTATTAAAATTAAAATAAAGCATTAAAGTCTGCAACTGTTTTGTGTAATGCTGCCAGTGAGAGCAATTCACTGCTCCAACGAATCCCTTCCAAAAGCTTCAGGCAATGAGAAAAGACCCGGCAGAGGCCAATTGTATACAAAAACCCCCCTGCCTGCTCTGTGTCCTGCTCTGGATGTCACTGCAGCCTTCCAAGTGTTCCAAGTCCAGGCTGTGGGTGCTGCTCTCCACCCTGACCTGTCAGAGTGGCCTGAATGACAGCTGTGGGGGGGGCTGAAGGGAAAATGCCCCACATACGTCCTGACAGTACAGAGGAAGGGGAAATCATTGGGAACGGAGAAGGTTAAGAGGGAAAGTTCTCCTCTTCCATAGGAGGGAAATGCAGATGTGGCCGCTGCCCTCAGGCAGCACACGGGCTACACAGTGGGACATGAGCAGCCGGAGCGAGCGGGGTCACACGAGGCAATAGCTCACAGTTTGGCATATGGAATAAAACACAAAAATAATGGGCAGGCAATGGCAGCCTGCAGACTCCCAGGGCAGGCACACGGGCAGCGCGTCCTGTTCTGACACCCCCCCCCAACGTGAGGCAAAGGGAGAGGAGGATGCTGGTCCCGGCAGCAAAACTTGCTAATTAATGGAGCCTGCGCAGGGATGCTCTCAGGGACGGCCATCTGTATGCTTTTCTGTGGTCAGCCAGCTCCTCACACCAATAAGCAAGGGCCAACCGGGCAGACAAGCAGCCAGGGAGAAGCCCTCCTTACAGAGCAGGCTCAGCACCTCACAACAGCACAATCTTGCTCTAAAGTCTCCCTTTCAGCCCAGTTTCAGGGTCGAAACGTCCCATTTAAGCACGTCTAGTGGGAGACAGATGCCAGCTGCAGCTCCCAGCCGTGGGGTTCCCATCCCCTGGGGACAAGCTGGCCGTGTCCCCGGCTCAGACCCACGAGCGTGCCCTGCCAACCCGGCGGCACGGCTGGGTCGCGATGGCTCAACCGGGGGAGATGCGGGGATAGATGTAACCGCGCTCAGCATCTCCCGGTCAGCTCCGTTTGGAACAGGGCAAGTGCGGGCGCTCGTAGGTTCAGTAGGGGGCTGCGGTGCCCCGGAAAGGGGGAGGGGGGAACCACGCAGCGCAGCATTCACCCTGCTAATGCACATCGCTGGGGGGGAGAGAGGGGGGGGAGAGAGAAACACAGACAGTGTTTGCGGGGAGGGGAGAAGGGGGGGGGAGAAACGCTGCATGGGTGATGTAACGCACCGCTCTGCCGTGCGGTCGGTTTAATGAATTAGGAATAAATAAATTAGAAATGATGCGGAAGGGGAGGGGGGGGGAAAGGGAGGAAAGAGGGGGAGGTCGCGACCGCGGCTCACCTGTCCGTACACCTGGATGGGCTCCTGCGCGGCACGGCGGCTCCGCGGGGGTTCATCGGGTGCCTCCGGAGGGACGCGTAGCAACAACGAGGAGCCGCCCCCCGCCGCCCCTTCGGACAGCAGCAGCAGCAGCAGCAAGGCGAGGCGGTGCGGGGACAGAACGGCACCGTTCACCCCGCCGCTGCACCGCGTCGCCATGTTCGTGGCGCGGGGCCGGGCCGCGCCGTGCGGGACCGATGGAGCCGCGCCGCCGCCCGGTCAGAATGTGCAATGTGCTCCGCCGCGCCGCCCCGCGACCGCCCCCAGAACGATGTGTTCTCCCCCCCCCTCCCCCATTCCACTCTTCATCATCCCGGGGGTAAACCGGGCCCGAGGGATGCGGGCGTCGGGGAAAGTCCGACGTCATCGATAGGCTTAGCGGAAAGGGTGTCGGAGCAGCCGTTACACGCGAGGAAAAAGAAAAAGATTGAAAAAAGAGCGAGTGGAAAAAAGAGCGAGGCTTAAATATCGGATGTAAGAAACTCAGAGCTCAGAAATCGGCAATTAAACAAAAAAAAAAAAAACACGGAAAAAAGAGATACGTGGTCCTAAGTTGGCAATCTGAAGTGATGGGAGGTCGGTGGTAAGAAAAGCAGTGATAAGGAAGAGCTGGTCAAAGGGAAGCTGTCTGAAGCGGTAATAGAAATGAGCACTGCAAAGTACACAGTGTAAAATCAACAGTGAAAATCGGCAAAGTACACAACCAAAAATCAACAGTGAAAGATAAACATTAAATTGAAAAAAAAAAAAAGGGCTTTTCAGCCAAAGCTGCTACAAAGTCTGTGCATCGCAGGGATTACCGTGTTTGCCAACCTTGTAACCCATCTGCATGGTGGAGGTGATGTATGGTGACATGGGGACAGTGCAGACCACCATTGGGGGGCTCAGCTCCCTGCATTTTGCTGTCTGTAACAGCTGAAACATTGCCCAGAGTGTTCCCAGAGGTACCTTTTGCCTAGAAACCTAGTTAGCGTGTTTCAATTACGGAGCCAATACAATTAGAAGCCCTCCTAATAAAGCTCTTAGCTGTCTCGATTCAGGGTAATGTCCCCCTGGAGGACCACAGGTCACAGGGGTGAGAGTTGATAGATGTTTGTGCACGGATCCGTGGAGCTGCTGTCTGCAGGTGGGACCAGCAGGGACCCAACACACAACAGCATCCCTTCCCCAAAGTGCTGCCCCAATCCCCAGGAAAAAAAAAATAAGAAAAAAAAATAAAAAGAAAGAAAAAAAAAAAGAAGAAACTGATTCAGAGTAGAATAGGAACTGGTGAGAAATGAGGAACTGGCCCAAGGATGGTTTGCTCTTTGTGTGAGCATTTGCTGCCCAGTCTGAGCCCCAGGGTTGTTCTTGGGGAGGCTGGGTGTTGCAATTCCTCTGTGCACAGCCCCAAGTAAGAGCCATTTGCTGGAGAATGCTTCATCCCTGGAGGCATTCAAGGCCAGGCTGGATGTGGCTCTGGGCAGCCTGGTTTGGTGGTTGGTGACCCTGTACATAGCAAGGGGTTGGAACTGGATGAGCACTGTGGTCCTTTTCAACCCAGGCCATTCCATTCTATGATATGAGAAGGAGATATGAATGTACTGTCATGTTCCAGGGAGCTTTTCCTGAGCAGATTGGCCTTTTTTAAGTCCCCAAAGTACATGAGTCTCCCCATCCAGCACTGCTGCCTGCCTGCAGAGGAAGGTAGAGTTGTGTTGAAATGACCACATTTATAGAGGGGCTGGGAAGGCCATAGGGAGCAGGTTCTTCTCCCAGACAGGAGGTGTATGTCAGTGGCAGACCCCATTTTGTTCTCAAGCATCTTCCAAAGAGGCAGCACACAGGAGGTTTGTGGGCAGATGTGCAGGCAGCACAGTGGCCCCCTATGGGCTGTCTGCTAGGAATTAATGGTGTGCAGGGATACAGGAACCCTTCCTCAGCTGTGCTGGGCACATATCACATGTATGGTATGGCACGGTATGTCCCTTCCCCTGGTCTGCATTCCCTTTGGTGTAGCAATAGCTGCACTGAAGAATATACCTGATTCTGGGGCCATATCACAACAACCCCAGTAAAAAGCTTCGGTGATCTGAGAGCATCTCCCTGCAGGGGAGCCAGCAACACCACGTGCTGTGGGGTGGTGTGTGTTTGGTTGTGTGCACACGTCGCTTTCACAGTAGAAAAGCTCTGTGGTGCAGTGTTCATGTGCTGAGGGATGTTCCTTTGTGGCAGCCTCTACCAAGGTATGAGCACTCGCTTCTCAGGTTGTGAGGAGCTCTGTAGGATGTGTGTGCTGGCATGTTGGCATGCCATAGGCAGCAGTGCTGGGCATCTGCATCCCCTGTGCAGGGTTGGCACGGCTGTCCCACTGCTGGGTGTAGCAATAGCATCACTCTGCCTACAAGAGCAGGAGAGCCTGTAAGGAACGATGGTCAGCCATATCTGCAGTAAGGTCGCAGCCTACGGACACACACACGGACACACGGACACACGGACACACGGACACGGCTCCGGCCTTTGGGCTCCGGCGGTGCGGGCATAGCGCTCAGCAGCGCCACCTGGCGGCCGCTCCTAAAAGTGCATGAGGCCCGCGGGCTCCGCGGTGCGGCAGAGCTTTCTATGGCCAAGGCAACCGGGAGAAGGATTTGTTTTCAGTGTAAATTGGAGCCTCTCTGCTGAGAGATGGGGGCACGTGTAGGAGAGAGGTGGTTCTATAGGAGGTGGGCTGTTGCATGCAGGGTGCAGGGGAAGGTCGCATGCCAGAGGAATGTGGCACATCCTGGGTCATGCTGTGTGCTGCCCTGCAGGAGGGCTGGCAGAAGGGTGCTGGGCAGGGATAGAGGTTTTCTGATGCTGACAGGGCCCTGTGCCGATGTGCCAAGGTCTGTGCTGCTGTTGTCACATTTAATCCAGCCTTTGCCTCGACCTTTGGTGTTTGCCTGAGCGCCAAGCTACTGCCCATCCAGAGTTCATGTGCACGTGGGGATTGAGTAACTGAGGGGAGGGGAGAACAGGGGCAGGATGCAGGGAAATGAGGGGTGAGCCATGGATGTGGGGGGAATACAGTTCCTGGGGGTTAGAAGGTGCGTGCCCATCACAGAGGAACTGCACGAGGGCCCTCTGTCCCAGGAGTGGATGCATGCATCTGTTGCAGTAACTGCACTCAGGAAGCAGAGTGTTGTATGAGTCCCCTGTGCAGTGGAAATGCTAAGTGACAGCCTGAAGCAGTAATTAAGCACCTGGTGAGAGGGCAGGGCTAACCCAGGGGAGCTCAGGTGCATGCAATGTGCTGACTGATGGAAGGGGTCTAGCCAGGATCCACCCCTTCCCAGCCCTCATTTAAGGGTTGGCAGTGAGAGAAGGGGGTCTCACTGAAGATCCCTGCCTACCTGAGGCTTCCTGAAGGTAAACAAGCTTTCTCCTTTGTTTCTGCATCTTTAGTTGCTGCATTTAGGTTTGTCCTCATTTGCTGCAGCCAAGGATTTTGCCACCCCGTTATTATTGCTGTACTTTCCACGTATTATAGTGTTACACCCTGTATGGTATGGAATGCACTGGTATTGCTGTGGGGCAGTGAAAAGAGATTTCTCCTACTTGTGTGTCTGGGAACCTCTGCAAAGAATAAGGGGAGAAGAGAGGGTGAAGGCGTAGGTGGCTGCTGCAGAGTGAGGTGAAAAGCGTCACCTTGGGGCACGCTCTATCATCTGCCTTGGGCTGGGAAGGCAGAAGGCTGTGTTACAGCATGGGGAGGTTTAGGGAGAGGGGGTGACAGAACAGAGCTGACTAGGCACGGAAAAGCCCTGAGCAATGCTCACTGTGCTCTGTTGTTCTCTGTGGCTTGGGCATGAGAGTACAAAGCTGGCAGAGGGACCTGTTGGGTGGTAACTTGTGGGGTGATTGGTGGGAGTGGGTGGAAATGGGGTGCCAGGATGGTCTCTGTACTGTCTGGAGACTGATAGTGAAGATGCCACATGCCGTCAAAGTTGGCAAATGAGTTTTATTAAAGGTTAGCCTGACTGAAGGCAGGGCAGTCAGGTGTTCAAAGGAAGCACATTGGCTTTTCAGGGGGGAAACAAGCCAGAAACCACAGCTCCCCCCCATCCCCAGCTTCTAAGCCTTCCCACTTCCCCTCCCCTAATGTTCCCTGTGAGTTCAAAGGGCTCAATGTCTGCCTCTTATCTCCAGAAGTGCCCCTGTGTGTTAAGTTCTCATGTGGCATCTTCAGGTGAGGTGAAGGAGCTCTCATCCAGTGCCAAGAAGACCCAGAATGTCCAGAGGCCGAGGAGCCACGAGGAAGACCTGTGCTGGCTGCACAAGATAGCAGGTCACGGTGTTTTTTTCAGGGAATACAGATGTGCAGGTCACACTGGAGAACACAATGCAAGATGCTGTTTGCCTCTCATCTTGATGTGACTTGATCTGTAGGCGTCCATGGCAGCTCATGGAGGAAGAGAGATGGGTGCAGATGGATGGAGACCCAATGACGTGCCATGTTACTGCTGTGCTTACATTGCAATGCTGTTTGTGTGCAGGGCTCCTGTATGGACTCACAGGTGGTGATGGCAATGGGGTGAGTTTGTGTTGCAGCCGAGGTTTGCAGTGTGAAGCGAGGATGGAGAGTGCTGTTCTGGGAGCAGGGATGGAGCTCTTGGAGCTGCTGTCAGTGCACGTGTCCTGCTGAGTGGGCAGTACTCACAATCATACAGGTTGGAGAGAGCACATAACTGATGTGGGGCACAAACATGGCATGTGTATTTCCAAGAAGTCTGAATAGCAGCAGCTTTGCGTAGCGTTAAGGTGTCTGTGTGCCATGAGGAGGGGTGGGAATGCAGGGGGGGAAGGGGTCCAAGACCCATCCACGAGCAGAGAAGGTCCCAGAGCGGCTCAGATTGAAAAGATGGGCTGTGAATGAGCATCCATGGGTGGTGGCTGTGTGCTGTAGAAGTGGAGGGAACTGTGTGGCATCCTCCTTTCCATGTGCACATCAGCCCCATGTGCACCTCTTGGCCCAGGGGAGCGAAGGGTTTGAGATGCTGAGACTTGCTGAGCGATGGGAAGAGATGGGGACTCCTTTTATGGGGGAACATTGTCCGAAAAGGCTCAGGAGGGATGGGATGAGACAGAGTCTGTTGGGGTTGCAGCCAATTTGGTGACACCTATTCTGTCTTGTCAGTGTCACCATTGGGGCACGCTGAACCATTCTCCCGCAGCTTGCGCATGTAATCGTGGGGGCCTTTGCCCTCAAAGGCAGTGGGGCTCTTGTAGGATCCACCAATCTTGTCCCAGAGGGTGAAGTACTGCCCGTAGTTGTAGTCAAAGTAGAGGTGGTGGTCGGTGTGGTGGGCAGAGCCATTGATGACGTGCCGCAGCAGCTGGGGGACGCGATAGTCGCCGTCGTGGATGGAGATGGTCCAGACATTGACGAAGATGTAGAGGCCCAGGTAGGTGACTTTGTGCAGGGGGAAGAGGAAGGGGTAGATGTGGTAGGGCAGGCTCTGCATGAAGCCATCCACGGGGTGGAAGGCATGGCTGGCGAAGGGCGTCGCGATCTTCCAGAGGTGGTGGGGTTTGTGGAAGCGCTGTGGGGAAAGGGTAGGTGCTGGGCCAGAGGCGAGGGGCTGAGGCCCATGGGATAGGAGCCCCTCTCCAGGCCCACCTATTTTGGGATAGCTACCTGTCAGCATCACTGAGGATAGCTGTCGTGTGTGGCTGAGTGACACAGGAAAGTTGGGATCAGAGAATCTTTGTAGGTTTTAACAGACTACGAGCTCACTTGCCAGTGGGGATGCAGATGAGGAAATGTGACCCACCCCCACCTGCACCCATCCCCATTTCTCAGGTGGTGTCAATACCCTGCTGACAGCCAGCTCCCCCAAGAAGGTTCTCTACCTTATAGAACAGCCTGTGGTGGAGGCCTCGGTGTATCCAGTAGATGCCCATGTCAGTGAAGAAGAGGAAGGACAGCATGCTGAGGAAGACTCCAGGCCAGCCTAGGGGAGGGAAGTCATGTCAGTGTTCCTTCTGCATGTGCCATAGCTCTAAAGGGTGAGAATGAGTAGGAAGCTGGGGCTTCCTGTGTGCAGAGGTGGAGGAAAGAGAGCAGGGTCATGGTGGAAAAAGTGAGCTGGGTCCTATGGGATTATACAGCAAGGGATGGAATGTCATGCAGCTAGGAAAGGATGTGCATCCCGTTGGCACTCTTGACCCTGAGGTAGGGGGTTGGCTGTCATGTGCGTGGGCTGACAGGGTGCCAAGGGCATAACTCAGAGCTGAGATGTTTTGGAGCTGGGAGGTGGCCTCTATTGATGTTGCCAGCATTATGGGCTGCCAGCTCTGGCAGGAGTTTGAGGGGGTATGGGAGGTGTCTGCAGGTTTTTGGTTCAGAATGAAGAAGAAATGTGTGGAGATGGGGGCAGAGAGCAACAGAGAATGAAGGGCAGGGGGGTAGCAGGGCCTGGGCAGCAGCTCACCATAGGGGGAGTCCTGAATGTTGTCATATAGTTTGCTGTAGCCCCGGACCTCAACAAAGAAGATGGCAACGGTGGGGACACTGATCCAGGGCAGGGAGCGCAGTGCGTAGATGATTTCCCGTTGCACCTGGTTCTGTAGGGAGGCAGAGAGGGAGCCAGGTTAGGGGACAGCATGAGTGGAAGCAGAGTGAAGTACACAGTACTTGTTGTGCCATTGAGGCCATGGGCAGGCAGGGAGGGCAGGCATTTGGCATGCTGTTTGGTATTTGGAGCAGATGTTCAGGTGTATACCTGGGGGCAGGGTGTGCAGAGAGGTTGTTTTGAGGAGAGCTGTGCTGTGGGTGTGGAGAGTAGGTGCCGGGGTAGCCTGGAGTGTAAGTGATGTTGGTGGGGGAAGAGAAGGGTCTCGGGTGCATTGGACCTGGTAGTGCAGAAGTGAGGCTGTCATGCAGGGTGAGAGGTTGATGAGTTTGTGTGAGCAGTGTGCTGAGTCCAGCAGTGAGGAGGGCTGAGCTGCAGACAGCCAAGGAGGTGGTTTGTGGTGCTGTGTGCAGTGCCTTGCTGTTGGGCTGCTCAGGCCAAGGTGGGTTGCCTGATGCAGGGATGAGCTGCTGGGCACGGTGGCTGATGTCAGTGGTCACGAGGCCTTTGGATCCTGCCCCGAAGAAATCGCTAGGTTAGCCCTCAAGCAATCAGGCACCTTTTTTCTCTGTGACTTCTGGTCTATATTATGCGAGTTTTCATCTATTCTATTCCTGTAGTTGATGCCTTTTGTGTTGTGTGACACCCATTCTATGCAATGCCTATTGTATTTTAGTTCAGGCCCATCCTGTTCTGTTCCCAACCACATGTTAGAGGCCAGGGATGGGCACCCACCTGTCATCAGCTGCCCAATCACCACCAGGCCCAGCTGTGTGGGTGCTGGCAGCACTCTGGGGCTGTTGCTGAGAAGCTGGACTTGGTGCCTTTGGTAGAAGGAAGGGCCATGTGCTTTGGGTGTTGGAAGCTAAGGGGCATTGGGGCCTTGAGGTGTGAATGCAGGGCTGGGAAACAGCAGGCCCAGATGTGGGCAATGCATGTGTAGGGCTACTGGGGTAGGACAGGACCCCCAGTCTGGAGTGAGGTGGGCAGGTGAGGTTGGTGCCAGAGTGTAGGGTGTGAGAGGCATTGTCTGTGGGGTGGCAGTGTTGTGGATGGGAGAGTATGGAGGCAGCAGGGATGGGAGTGAGAAGGTCAGGACTGGGAGGTGCAAGGTAGAAATGGGGCCTTTGGGCTTGCAGAGGGGCTTAGGGCAAGTGCCAGCGTCCTTGGGGAGAGCCAGGGTGCTTCTGTATGGGGAAAGGCAGCACCCTGTGTTCAGGTGATAGGAGTGGGGCATTATCTGAGTGGTAACAGATCAGAAGATGGTCCTGAAAGCAGAGAGACCCTGGCTGGGGGTCAGTCCTGCCCTGTTATGTTCCATCAGGGAGTGTCAGGCAGCTTTTGGAGGAGATGGGTGGCAAAGGAATGCCAGCAGCATCTGGGATGTGCTGGGAGGGAGCGGGGTGCGTGCAGCCATGGTACCCACCTCGAGGAACTGGGGGTGCTTCTTCAGCTCATGGTCGAAGATGAAGTAGTAGCTGAGGGTGCCGAAGAGCAGATAGAGGGCGAGTGCTCCAAGGTTGGTGATGACGAAGAGGCTGAGCAGCTGGCGAAAGGGCTCGTCCTCTGGCCAGCCCGTGGGGTACACGTAGGGTGTGAGCAGGTGGTGGTCAGCGACCTCCAGCACCAGGTCCATGGTGGGTCTGGGGGAGACAGACAGACAGATGGAGAGGAGGCCTTGCTGGGTGTTCTGAGTGGAGGTTATGCAGGCAGTTGTGCTTTTATAGGGGTGTGGGGTGTTTGTGAGCTGTCAGGTGGGGCTGGGCTAAGAGATGGAAAAGTGGGGCAGTTGGGAGGAGTGAGTGGGGCTGTTTTGTGTGAGGAGAGGATGGGGGGGGCTCTGGGATCATTGGGAAGGGGTGGGAGGCTGTGCGGTCCTCATGGAAGGGGAGAGGAGGAGGACGGCAGGATTGCCAGCCCACGGCACAAGGGATGGGGCCCAGGAAGGCTGTGCTGGGTCAGGGGATGCAGTTAGCGGGATGGGAGCAAGGATGCAGAGGAGCGGGGCTGTGCTGTTGATGCCCATGTGTTGATGGAGCAGGGATGGACAGGAGGCTGCCGTGGTGAGCGAGTCGGGGAGGCAGAGGGGTGCTGCCTTGGGGCCCATCCTCCTCCCAGAGCACTGTGCTGGACACTGGGCTCTGCGGACCTCAGCAGCGTGTTAGGTTGGCGTGGAACCCCAAAGTGCTGCGGCCGGGATCTTGCACGGCTCTGAGCCGTGCTGCAGGACACGGAGGCGGTGAAGCCGGTCCCGGTGCCCTGGGCGCGGTAACGGCGCGCTCCTCGGGTGCTGCGGGGCTGACGAACCCCCGTGGGCTCCCCCGAGGCAGATCGCCGTACCGGAGCCCTACGATGGGCTGCCTCCCCCCCGTTCCCGGCTCCCACCCCGCGATCCCCCCGCGGTCCCCCCGCATCCCCTACCTGCCGGCGGGGCCCGAGCGCGGCGGTGGGCGGGGCGGCGCCGCCCTCTAGCGCCACGTGACGTCACGGCCCCGCCCACCTCGCGCCACCGCCGCCGTGCCGTCACGCGGGGGTGGGGCGACAGAGGAGACCGCGGGTTCGAAGCCCGGGCTCGGCGAATGGGCGGGGATCCGCGCGGAGTCGGGGCGGCGGTACCGGGTGGTGCCATGGGGCGGGCGGGGGGTTCGCTCGCCTCCCGAATCCGCGCGGAGCCTTTCTGCTGTGATACCCACAGCTTCTGCTCCCACACAAGCCCGCCTGCCCGAACCCCCTGCTTAACATCGGTGCCTCCCGGCCTCTCTCCCCGCTCTGTTCCACCACGCAGGACGACGCTGCTTTACGAAGGAGTACAACGCTTTTTATTCCCACGCAGCCGTGTCACAATTTACCAACACCAGACCAGTCACCCACAGAAACGACCCCCAGCGCCGACCCTCGCCCCGACCCCCGGCACCACCCCTGTTGTGCGGTGCTCCCACCCTTCCCTCACCCCTTCTCTCTTCTTCTTAAGCACGCTTCTCTCTCCCAAAAGCACTTCCCATGCCTCTCCGCCACCCCCAGACACACGCTCAGCCCTCTGCCCCACACCCCCACCGCTCCCTTGGATGGAGATCTGAAGGATGATGAGTTCCCATGCTGTGCCAACGTCCTCCGAGCCGAGCGCGCTCCTCCGTTCCGCACCCTGCGCTGTGCCACCTACCTCTGGCTGCATCCCAGCGCTCTGATGATGCCGACTGTTCTGAGAGATTGTCCTTGTCCCAGGAGGGGCAGAAGCCCCTCTGAGGGTACAGATGCTACATGTGGATGAGGCTCAGCCCATCCCCCTCTGCTAACAGAGGTGCTGCCCACCTGGGCAAAATGCTACAGGACAGAACCTGGGGAAAAGCTGCAAGCCCTGTGAGTTTCCTGATCTCTGTTACGGTCAAGGTGCATTCTGTGCTTCCAGTGATCATCCCTCCTCACTCCAGGTCGATTCCAATCTCTCCTATATCTGTGGGGCCGGCTCGGCAGTGGGTTTGTCGCTGGGGGTGCTGGCTGCTACCCTACAGAAACTCAGGCTGACACGAGAACAGTACATGGCTGGGCAGCAGAGCCACCCCTATGAGGTTGGGTCCTGCAGAGCCGCCCACAGCCACAGCTGTGCCACCACCAGAAGACTTGCTTGGGCTCGGCTGTCTGCTGAAGAGCTGGAGACTGCAAAATGAAAAAAGGTTACGTGTATCGATGCAACAGACACTTGCAAGTTAGGTGGGACCTGCAGGCACCCCCTTCCACAGACCCCAATGAGCTGATCACCTCTCAGCTGGGAAGCCCATCAACAAGCCACTGCCCAGTCTGCCTTGCTCCTCCATATAGCCCAGCTCCTCTGCAGATACTGATGCGTGCTGCCAAACCCACACCGCCCCAAGCAAAGCCCCACGTGCTCCCTGTAGACTGACTGCCTGACGAGCCCTTCATGGTAAAGCAGCACCAGATTTGCAGCACTCCATGTCCGCACAGCCAAATGCCTCCATCCCACTCCAGCTAACCCAAGGCGTGCATTATCCAAGCCTCATATCTGTCCGGATCCAAAAAAAGGCTGCCTTCCCTCCTTCTCTGGATGCCAGCAGCCTCTCTGTTGCACAGATGTCCCTGCCCACCCCACACGATGACAGGGCCAAGCCCTGGTGCTTACCCCTGCAGCTCTTGCCGTCCCCTTGCAGTGTCCCTGTCACACAGCTGCACAGGGGTCCATCGGCTTGACTCGTGCAGATCTGCTCACAGCCACCGTTGTCCTCACACCAGTCTGATCCTTTGTGCATGACAGATAGTGAGAGATGCTGCTGGATCCTGAGCAGCCCTCAGTTGCCCACCCAGGATGCCTACTCCCTCCAGTGATGGGAAGTCCTACTGGAACTCCCCCATCACCTTCCAGGTGCTCACTCCCATGTCCTGGCCATCTTTCCTTGCACCAAGGGGATCATCACATAAGGTGGAAGACCCGTCATGCCTGTCCTCAGGATGCCACACACTTACGTTTCCTCCGAATGGGCCCCACTGACAGGATCTGCTCATGGGCCTCATGAGTGAAGGCGCTGGCTGAACGCCGGTGCTGGGGGCAGTTCTGCATGGAGATGTCAGCACATTTATTACTCTTGGCCACTGACCAAGCCCTCTCTACACACCTCCAACCCGGACCCCCAAGAGACCCCCTTCCCCCCCCCCGACACAGCCAGGATCTTCCCACAGCAGAGCTCTCCTCCCTGCAGCCAGAGGGAGGTTCAATCCTCCCTATCTCTTCCTCAAGGCTGCCTCTCTGGCTGCCTCTTGAATACAAGCCATGCACAACATGTTCCACCTCCGCCTCAGAAAACTCCCAACCCCAGCAACCCTCAGCCTTAGCCTCCCTTACTATTTTGCAGGAGTACTTCTCCGAGTCACACAGTGAAACAGCACAGTGCAGGTGGACTTCATCGTAGTCCCCGATGAACTTGAAGACAGTGACATGGAAGCGACAGGTCAGGGACACCCCGTTCTCCTCTATGCCAATGGTGTTGTCCTTCAAGTTTTGGCACCTGCGAGCAGGAGAAAAGCTGGCCATGGTGCTTCTGTGACCGGGACCCTCCTTTAAGCAATACTTCTTGCTTCTGTCCCTATGAGACCCCCTTGGGCAAATCTTTCAGCTATTCTCCTAGATGTCACTGTACCTATATGAGCATCATAGGACCCATGTTTCTGCACCCCTATGACACATGCCAGTTTTGGCTAGGATAGACCTAGGTGTCTTTGTAGTAGCTCCTTTGGAGCTATGCTTTCCATAGATAACCAAACCAAGGTGCCTGCGGTCACTCACCCTCCCTCAATGATGAAGTAGCGCAGTTTGTCATTGCTGTCCCGTGAGGGTGTCGCATAGCACTTGTTCAGCATCAGGATCAGGTGGTTGGAGTCAGCCCCCACCACAAAGACCCCCACGTAGAGCACGTCCCGCGTGGTCAGCACCACTTCCCCCTGCCGGTACGGGTGCTTGTAGGAGGAGTTCTTGTACAGGGCCATCTTGGTTGTGAAGCTTCCTTCCTGCGTTGGCACTGTCAGGTTGATCACACTAATAAAAAGAAGAAAAAAAAATGAGTCTTGGACCTCGCACTGGCTGTTGTTTGCATATTGTAACCTTGCTGTCCATGCACACACGTGCACTGCTTGCCCTGCTCTGACCTGAGCATTGGCCGCACGACTGAGTCCAGAGAGATCTTGATGTCCAGCTCATAGGCACAGGAAAACTCCACATTGATGGTCCGGTCCCGGGTGATGATGTTGCCTGTGTTGTTCGCACTTTCAATCCACACCGTGTTCTTGTATACGATGTGAGTGCTGTTGGACTGCAGAAGGCAGAACGTGGCATCCCTCTAAAGTGACCGTCTCTGATCTCCCACTTGTGGCAGATGCCTCAGACCCAAAACATGTGGTGTAGCTCTGAAAATACCATTTCTCCTACCCCAATATGACCAAGGCTCAAGGCAAGATGCGTCCCACGTGCTGGCCACCTCTTGGATCCTTTCACCCTTGACAAACCACCCTATAACACACTGTGCCCTTGCTGCACTTCCTGCCCCATTGCTCCCAGGTGAGACAATACCCAGTGCCTGCAGCATCCACCCCTGGGCCCATTAGCCCATCACCCTGTCCCACCTGCACCAAGTTGCCGCAATTGCCCTTGGTGTTGTTGATCTGGAAGGAGATGAAGTCCTCCCCCTCTATGCCAGGACAGTGGCGGTCATTGACCCGTACGCCCTCGCGCTCGAAGCCCAGCTGGAACAGCTTGCACTTGGAGATGGACACCTCCATTTGTGCAGCTTTGCACGTCACCTCTGCATCAATGATATCATGGGTGGCTAGGAGAAAAGGAGAAGGCTCATGGAACCAACTGAAAAGACACCCCAGGCCCAGGTCCCCATCCCAGACATCCCTCCCAGCCCCGGGCTCACTGTTGCCGTAGGGTGGGGGCTCAATGCAGCCACACAGCTCCCCACCATCATCCAGCTCGCAGGTCCGGTTGGGGCAGTCGGCGCCAGCACAGGGGTCCTCCACCACTCCTGCTAAACAGCGCGAGACGCACCTTTACCCTTGTGCTCCGGGCCCAGTGCACTCTGAGCATCCACAGGAGCCCATCTTGCTTACAGCAATTCTCCTTCTCAATCCACTCGGTGCCCAGGATGCCGAAAGTACGGCACGCTTCACCATAGGCAGCCAGTGAGCCGCACAGCTGCACCTGCTTGCGGTTGTAGCAGCCATCCAAGAAGCAGGACTCGTAGAAGGGCAGAGGGTCCAGCAGGCCGTAGCAGGGCTGGAAGAAGCCCTTCATGTCTGTCAGCTTCAGGCAGTAGTTGTCGCTCTGCAGCTTCTGGATCTGGACGTTGTCGCAGGACGCGGCGTACTGGGAGTACTGCAGCTCGTTGCAGCTGCGGGCACCAGACACGTCGTGGGGGGGAGGGTCCCCAACTTCCCAGCCCCGTGCCCCCCACCACATCCACCTCACCTCTTCTGCATGCCGTTGGTTTTCCAGCTCTGTGCCAGCACCACGCTGCTGACCACCGGCTTGCCCCGCAGCGTCGCGTAGTCGTCCGCCGGGTCGCCGTTGAAGTTGCCGCACAGCCCGCACACCTTGTTCTGCAGCCGGTCTCCGATGGTGATCTTGATGACGTTGAAGCCGTTGTAGCGGATCTGGATGTCGGGGCCGGAGTCGATCACCAGGAAGCCCTCCTGGCTGTAGATCTTGGTGGAGAGTCCCGTGACGAAGGGGATGCTCACGAGGCTGCCATTCACCTGGCACAGTTGGGAGGACGCAAGGATGACATCCCTTCATCCTCCACTGGGCAGGAGCAACGCCTCCCTGCAGTCTCCACTGATGTTTTCCAGCACCCCAAGCATGCAAACACGAGAACTCTGCTTTAACAGCTGCCTTTCTTAATTCCAGCGAATCACTCTGAAGTCCTTGCCTCCCTTACATGCCAGCATAAGGCCACAGTGCAAACCAGCCCATACAAACATGCATAGGCTCTAGCTCACAAGTCCTCTCCTGCTAAGACAGGCCACATGTGATGTCTCTCCACCCCAAAATCAGAATGCCCCTATGCATATTCCACATCCTCCTCTGTTTCCACCTGCAGATTCTGTGATAAAATCAAGCAAGGATAACTTTAAATAGATACAGAGGTGATGAATGCACAGCAAGATCCAGTAGATCATAGAATCACAGAATGATTTGTGTTGGAAGGGACCTTTAAGATCATCCAGTTCTAATCCCCTGCTATAGGCAGGGACACCTCCCTCTAGACCAGGCTGCTCACAACCCCATCCAGTCTGACTTTGAGGGGGCATTCACAGCCTCACTGGGCAATCTGTTCCAGTGTTTCACACCCTTACAGTAAACAATTTCTTTCCAATATCTAGTCTAAATCGACACTCTTTCAGTTTAAAACCATTGAACATTTCTATATAAGAACTAAGCCTTCCCTACAACTTCTGATGATGTACTACCGTAACTAGTGTTCCAGCCATGTAAAAAGACAGAGTCCATTAGATATTGATGCTAAGAGCAGTCCCCTTCTATTTAGGTGCCAGTGTTCTCCAAATTTTCTTAATTACTATGGCAGATTACATGATGGTTTCTGCAGGATTATATTACACTGGCATGATTATTCCCTTGGATCTGCGTCCCCCTCTCACCCAGGGGTTGCATGAGATACGGGCACAGTGATGGGCACTGGCTCACCCCGCTCCATCAGACCACCTTGCCTCCCAACATTCCTCTCAACCTGGCCAATGTCCCAGCCCAGCACAACAGAGAGCGGCTGCTGGTCTCACATGAAGCTGCTTCTACCGCTATGACCAGCAGTGTCACAGGAGGAATCACAGAATCACAGAATCACAGAATCGTAGGGGTTGGAAGGGACCTCCAGAGATCATCGAGTCCAACCCCCCTGCCAAAGCAGGTTCCCTATAGCAGGTCGCACAGGTAGGCATCCAGGCAGGTCTGGAACATCTCCAGAGAAGGAGACTCCACCACCTCCCTGGGCAGCCTGTTCCAGTGCTCTGTCACCCTCACTGTAAAGAAGTTCTTGCGCACATTTGTGCCCCGACCTCAGCAAGACCTCACCTTGACCGTACTCCTGTCACTGATGAGGATCTGCTCCTCGTTGATGTAGAAGTACACAGGGGAGATGACGGTGAGGTTGGGCGAGGACCACTTGTCGAAATTGATGATGAGCTGGAAGGAGAAGTCGGGCAGCTTCTGGCAGATGGTGGACAGCACGAAGGCGCAGTTGGCGGGGAAGCGGAGGAAGGCGCCGTCGAAGGTGCGGAAGACGCCGCCTCCCGCCGCCAGGCAGAAGGAGCTGCGTGTGCTGAAGCAGCCGCGCACGCCGTTGCGCGAGGCGCACTCCTCGTCCGACTTGCAGTGCCGCGGGTCGCACTGGATCAGGTTGCGCCGGAAGCAGCGGCACCGCCGTGTGCAGTCCCCGTTCCAGAAGAGCTGCTTGGGCTGCAAGAGCAAGGGGCGGCGGGTCAAGGGGGTGGGAACCTCCGCGAGGCCCGCTGTGGACATTCTGCATGGATTTACTCACTTTCTCCATGTAAAAAGGGAAATCGGGTGATGATGACTGAGCAGAGAGCTCAGTACACACCGAGCAACTCCCCGGAACAGAACCAAACTTGCCAGCAACAGATAAGCCTCTAGAGTGAGCCGTACAGTGAGCACGAGTCCAAAGTGGGCGAGCAAAGTGGATGTGCCCAAGCATCTCAGCACAAAACGAAGCAAGTGACTGCAGCTACAGGGAAGGGCTGCACTA